ATCAACTATAAAAAACATTCTAGAACTATGCGACTTGCCGGTGCGCGCGCAACCAATATTAATATTCCGTGAATCGTAATATGTGGACGACGTAGAGCCACCGCCACCACTACTGTCCCAGTCACCACTACCGCCAAAGCGATTTTCGCCGTCGACTTTCAACCGGTGCACAACCAAAAATCATTCTCTAGCCGACAACTACTCTTGGCAGTTACTTGTTCACTATTATTCCGACATCCACTGCGGTTTCCTGTGTAGAATTTATAGCGTCCTGAACACATAATTCTTTCACAGATTCCAATATTGTTCCTAATCATTTTCAAACATACCTCTGTGTAAAAATGTTCACCATAACCATTCCCTGCAGTGCCCTTTTTGCTTTTTGCTGCCTGGTACCGGCTTTCTTGTCTAACACCGTCTACGCCGTTCCCCTCGACCCTGTATCAGTTAAAGAAGGCGTCTTCACATACCCATCGCGTGGTAACAACAAGCCATTACATATATGTAAATTCTGAGTTAGTAAAAATAATTTATTTTATATTATAATATATTTTTGCATTATTACGACTAAAATGTATAACATTATTACGACTAAAATGTATAATATACATTTGATTTTATGTATAATATACATTTGATTTTAGGATATTAACGGTCATTATTACACTGACATAATGACAGTATTATTATCGTAACAGACATTTGATATTCTAAATGAAAAAAAAAAATGATAATAATAATAATAATAAAATTGCATTTGAACCAAATATTAGTATTCATATTTTTTGTATTATTCGTTCAGATGACGCACCGGCATCACTCAAAAAACTTCAACCACATATCGACTCATCCGCGCCACTTATACGGTGCTACTGCAATTTACCGGTGTGCTTGACAGCCACTGGAGGTATGCCTGTGTGCCATACCCGCCAAGGATGCTATTCCCGCATACAGATGAGCGTATCGGAATTAACTGGACCGTCGCAGGTGGCCGACCCGACGACCCCAACTACCACTACCACTATTCAATCCATACCTGATGAGTTTGACGAACGACTCATCATGTCGAACATGGACCACGTTATCAACGGAGCTTACGGTTGTTTAGACCTTCTACCGACGTAAGTAAAACAATGCTGCAATATAATTCTCCATTTTAATCTCCCTCTAAATTATCATTAAAATCGATTAAATTTCAAATAAACTTTATACATATAAAGTATAATAATTTCAATTGTTTCTAAACCATCAGTACTAATACTACTCTAATCTATCCTCCTTATTTATATTCACATAGTCCGAATAGCTTATTTAGTTTTTTAAAAAAAAAAAAACGGACGTTCAGGTTTTTTAGATTTTAAACGTAGCGAGGGAACTATGGGTTATACTTTATGTATATTTTGTTTTTTATATTTTTTCTACAGTAAACAATTTTTCGAAAATAAAAACCTTTTTCCGATGTATTACATGTAGCACCTTTTCTGAAAGTTAACTTTATCTAGTAAATGGATTAGATAGGTAATTTTTTTCATTTTTAAGTGGTGTACAAAATAATTGGGAAAATCTTGAAAGAAAATTATAAGGAAAGCAGCAAATACGAGGGCTAATCAAAAAGTATCGAGACTGATAATATGACTCGGAAACCGAGCGTTGAAGAGCGAAACGATTTATAAACCTAGCTTCTATGACTTATACTGAGCACATGTATTCGTATACAATCTCTATAAACTTCTTCGTTTTGATTTGACGATATTTTTCTAAATTTTTTTTTTCACGTTTGGCGATTTCGTAATGAAATCAAAAGAAGCGGAACTTGCTGCCACTCGAGGGCACATTTTCAGTTTTTTAATTGACATTTAATGGCAAAAACCATGAAATGTTGAATCCCTCTGAAACTGGAAAAAAATGCAGAAAAATTTTCTAAAATCTCCAAATCTGTCAAGTTACTCTTCTTTTGGATTTATTACAAAATCGCCAAACTCAAAAAATATATTTTACAAATATATCAGTGAAATCAAACCGAAGAATTTTATAGAGAAGCAATAAAAACAAATGTACTCAGAAAAAGTCATAGAAGCAAGTGATACCAATCCTACTGCTCTTCTGTGCTCCTTTTCCGAATGATACTACCAGTCTTGATACTTTTTGATTAGCCCTCATATATACCGCGCACCTCGGCGTTAATGTTTTACATTTTTTTTCACGATATTTTCTACCAGAAATATAGCTACAATCAAAATATGATATGAGATCAATTTTGTTCTTTTAATATATAGCTACTGAATAAAAAATTCAGTTTTTTGATATCTAAAGTATGTTTTTTAATATTTTTAAATATCCAAAAAAAATAACAACTAACAAATTACGGCGCAACGATAACATTATTATAAATTTTTACTGCTTAGAATTTCCAAAAATACATTGGTCTAATAAAAAAACAACAAGAGACATATTTTGTTAAATTTTCAGTCTTATTAGTGACCAAGAAAGTCGTTTTTTTTCTTGGTATTTTTTTTGATGGTTGAGCAAATCCATAAATACGTAGAAAGAACGGGCAAATGTATGAAAATAATATTTATTTACTATTTTAAATGTTGTTCTTTTAATACAATTCGGTTATAAATATCTGTATAAATTGATAATTTAACAGAAAATCTATAATCGCTTTCTTTTTATGTGTTAAAATTTCAAAACATAATTAAAAAAATAATTGAGTATTAAACATTGCACTCAATGTATTTTCTTTCTTTAATATATAAATATATATAAAAATTAGTTTTAAAACAAATTTTGACAAAATCGTAAATATTACGGTTCTTCGAAACATGTATAACCGAACTTCACCCGAATCGTTTTTTATTACTAATGGATTATCGTTAGTTACAAGTATAAATTGAATAATTTTATATCTTCAGCCGTCCCGACTACCCATCTATAGTGGCCACGGGTAAAATTTACTGAAGAGCAAAATAAACAGAAAAAGCTTTTTCGTCGAACACTCATACGTTTATTGTAAAAATATTTGATAACAGAACTTAAATAATATTTTTACGCCTATTCCCCCATGAGTAAAATTTAATAATTAAATCGATTTCAAAATTATTATTTTTAATAGATAAATGTATCCATTATGTGTATGAACTTATGAATATCAGATGAATATGAATTGTAATTTTTTTTTCTTTTCCCATCGTCCCGCTATGTATAGGAATCAAACCTGCAATGATATGCTCAAGGTATCGGAAGATTCGGAGTTTCCGGCATTACCTTCGGTAAACTCGTCCGAAACTCTGCATGCATACCGTTGTTGCCAAAATGATATGTGTAATAAACGCACTAACCCGACCACGACCGCCATCCGAGAAGCACGAGAGGCTCTAAGAAAAACATTTCAAAGTTCTTTTCAACAGCGCAAACCATCGGTGAGCGAAACGAAAACAGTTGTCTTGGCAGCAGCACTTGCTTACAACGCTAAAACCAACAAAGAACCAATCCGCGGCAGTCCTATCGAAATCGCTCCTGAAATCTTCCCTGAGATAAACGCAGAGAATAAAGCAACGACAAACAACCAGAGAACAATCGGCGCGGTAGATAATCTTAAAGTTATGAAGTGGTTAGAGTTTGCCGATTCCGGTGACTCTAAAAAGACCACTCCCGCCGGTATTGCAAGAAACACGATGCAATTCCCCAGCACTACTCTAAAAGGAGAATCGTCTCAGCGTGTCAAACCGATCTTCGTAGCTCCAGAAGAGTTCCCGACCAATAGTGTGTACCCGCCGATATATTACCGGAAGCCCAATTTTCCTGTCGCAGATTTCATAAAAATCATAAACATCGTAAAACCACTGAAGCTAGAAGAGAGCGAATTTCCAGCCAATAACATAATTAGCCGTCGCCTGAATCAAGAAAGAAAAGGTGTGTATACAGAATTTATAATTATAACAATGATAAAATAATTATAATAAATCAAGTACCAAATAATTTATAAAATAATGATAGGACATAGGTATAAATGTACGCTCATTTTTATTTTATTTTTTTTAATTTTAACTTAAACGCATAGGTCTCGGTAAATGAATACGTCGATTTGCAATACAACTTTTAGATAATAATTGGGTGATATGGAAGGTCGAGACACTCGTGGCAATACATTTACAAACATTTTAAAAAGCAAAAATGAGAGATCAGTTTTTAATTCCCCTCCCACCTTACTAATGGCTATAACTTACCAAATTTAATTTTTTAACACTGAAAAATTGATTCGCAAAGAATAATTTCTTTAAAATAAAACTGTGTGTTTTTTTTTTTTAAATCATATTATTAATCATTTTTTTAGTTTTAGGAAATCATATTCGTAAATCAAATTTACGAAGTTGAACTATTAAACCCCTATATCAATTTTGCATTTTTATACATTTTTTAAGTAATTTTTTTTAAAGCTTTTTGATGTTTTTAAGTATTTTTTTTAGATTTTAGGAATATATAAATCCAGTCTCTAAAACTTATTCATATAAAATACGTATGTAAATACAAATTTTAAAATAGATGTGTAACTGCCATATCACACTTGTGCTTTTGGTATTGACGCAGTACGATAGCAACATAGGTATACTTTTATGTTGTTATTACTGTTATGTTATGTCCGCGGTAACCAAAGCCGTAATTGTTAAAATGATATCTGTGGCATGGTGCAAGAAGGGTTAATGACACTTAATACAATTGCTGGAAAATGGACTTTAAAAATTTAATCTCCAATAAGACTCTGTGTCTTTTATTAAATGTAAATTTTTGTATGATTTTCAATTTTTCACAAAAATTTAAACACTTTTGAAAAAAAAAATAATAAAAACTTATATAATTTTCATATTTTTACTCTTCTATATTTTCAAAAAATTGACATTGGCCTTTCTTGCACCAAGCCACAGAATTATTAAATAGAAATAACAGTAATCACGATATAAAAGTCGATCGCAGCTATCCAGTTTCACCGTATATCTGTACATTTTTTGGTTTGCTTAGAATTAGGTAATTTTATCATCGTAATCGTCGTTTTAATCGTCTTTCCTGTATTATAGTACATGCCGAAAATAACGCCAACGTTGAGCGCGATACTGCAGCGTTTTAATCAGTCGAGGCACGCCAATCGCCTGCATTTCTACGATTACGCACTTTCTCCAAACAACCGAACCATAAACACAACCGCCTTCAACAATCCAATAACAACGTCCACAAGGTCTAACAACAACCACGACTAAATCGGCAAGCCGCAATCGTTCACGGCGCCTCGTCCGATAATTAACAAACCATATTTTAATTTAAAAACGAAGAAAATAAAATTGCATTTCAATAATATACATTTTTGTTCACGCTAATCTATAACAAACACAGACTTTAAACGAAAAAAAAAAAATACTTTAGCTTTTAATTACAATATATTTTGTGCATTAGATTTAGGTGCCTTATGCACATGGTTTGTTTTTAGAAAAAAATGTCAAGTTTATAACACAAAGAAAACCGCTTTAATTTAAGTGCCTTTTGCACGAGCTTTTTTAATGTAACGCGAAGATAGAAAAAAAAATTATAAATAACACTTAAGTTTAAGTTTTTTATTTTAATAAAATAGTTATATATAGGAGGAAAAAAATCACTTAAATATCATATTCAAATCGATATTAAAGTAATATTAATTTGTTTAATACATCGTGCTTGATCGAGCATATCAATCTTACAACGTTTTTACAATAGATTCCGTAATACAATAAAATATTATTTGATCAAGTATCAATTGTTTTTTTTTTTTTTTTAGAATACGTCCCAAAATTATAATCAACAGTTATTAATATTTTTTTTTTTATTTTTACGTGTCTTAAACTATAAATAATTTATCCGAGTGTTCAATCAATTATTTTAATTTATAAAAATCATTATTTCCGCTATTGTGATTCGTACTGCAAAATGTATTAAAATAATTCAATAAAATTTTCGTGCCGCGGTATTTGATACAACCATTATAATAATATAACAACTTTCATTATAATTTATTTTTTATGTAATTTATGTTATTATTTCATTCTGATTTATAATTATTTTTTACACATATTTTAAATTATTAATTTTGCTATTTGTATTAATTTTATTGCACATATGATAATTCAATAGAAATTAGCGTGCCGCGGCATTAGCTAAAAACTTTGTGTTAATGTCAACTTTCATTATAATTGTTTTATTAGTATTTTTTTTTTTTAATTAAATCCAGTCTGATTTATTATTATTTTATTTACATTTATATATGTAATTTTTACCATTATATTATATTATGTACGTCAAGTACCTATAAATGGAAAATATTAAACTTCTACCTCTAATTTACTATTCTAATACATATTATATTCATGATTTTTTTATAAATTCAAAATAAATGACTGAACAATTTTTTATATTATCATAATATATTTGTTTTCGTGTATACTATTATTACATTAATTTACTGTTTAGATGAGTACAATATTCATTGTGTGTTTGTGTGTTCCTAAATAAAATGCAAACTGTGTACGAATAATTTCTCAATCACTTCAATTCGCTCCTTATTCCAGTAGTGCTAATACTGTGCAGGAAGTAGAAAATGTGTACTACAGGTATATAAGTACAATCGAATTTCAACTTCCTGGCTAATTATGTCGTGCCAATAAACTCGTTCATGAATTTTGTCGAATTCGGGCTATCTATACTTGTGAATTGTAACAGCATAGCTGCACTATAAGTATATTAAGATGTGCCCACGTAAAAATGGTAAAATACTTCTACCTATATGAAAAAATAATAAATTCCCTTTTTACATAATATTATTTAAAAATCTATCGATACAAATTACGTACAACAATTCGTTATATTCTAATATCTAAATATCGACCGTTGATGTATACCATATTTCAATCCAATCATTTTTCTTTTTTCATGATCGAATTTTGCACATTCGATACACATTATTCGTCCAGATGTTTAAGTGGCGGTCGGGCACCACTCCTAGCCGAGGAGGTATGTAACCATTCATATAAAACAGGTATGTAACCATTCAGCTGCGATAAACATACTTTATAGAAGACAATATTTAGTTATTTAACATCACATACAATATCCGCATAATTTTTCGTTTTCTTATCTTTTATCATGGTTTTTCCTAGATACTATGAAAACCGCACGAAAAATCAAAAAAATGACATTCCAAAAGATTTAATTAATAATAGTTTTACATTTATAATTTTTCTTGGATACTTAGTCGAAATGTACAAATACTTTATAGTCATGTACATTTCCTCACCCCCTCTTCCCCAATTTTGAAATATGACATTTTTCTTGGCCTAATTAGTATTTCGTTAGTATTGAATAATTTTATATTGAACAAATTAAGTTGATTTAAATTTTTATTTTTACGCTTTTATAAATCAATATATTATGAACACTTTAAAATACGTATTGTTATGAATGCCTGTTGTATTTACTGTTGTCGCCAGTTATGATTTGTAAGTTTATTATTGAGTCATTACAGTAGGTAATAAACAATATGTACATTTTTTTTTTTTTATGTTATTATGGGGAGATGTAGGCGATAGCCTATGTCCCCATGATCCGTATTTATAGTATTTTGTTATTTTAAACAAATTGAAAGTCCAAATGCAAATTTTCAATGTTTTCAAATTTTTTAATTATAAATGGTTAATTGTGTTAGTAGGTACCAAAATATTTATAGTTTATTATTACACTAGGTAAGCATTATTCTTAATAGTTAATGTTAAAATAAATAGTAAATTTCACTTTAAGCTACTTTATATACTACGCGTTCGACGTTGTAATTTTAAAAACGGAGACGTACCGTTTGATAAAAAACTTCCGAGCCCTGGTGATAAGTTATTTAATATTGGTAAGGAGAGGGGGGTTGTGTGAGGCTAACCTCCCATGAGATTGCTAAGAAGGTTCATATTGATATCCCCCCTTCTTTCAATTACGCCACTGTTCCCTTAATCTAATTTAAGCTATTCATATAATTAGGTGCATACATAAATAATAAACATTACAATTATTTGAATGCACCTCTATGTAACTAGTTTAGCTTAATTAATTATTTTTAAGTAGGTAAGGTTAGGTTAAAACAGTAATTCCAACATGGGTGGCACCACCGCCTTGTAGCCTTTTTTATTTTGAGGGGGCTATTTTCTCAAGAGACGCTAAGGAGGATAATTTACTGTTATTAAAAACAATTGTATTATTAAAAAAAACATTAATAGCAAATTCATAACTTACTGCAATGAAATGTATATCTGCGTACAATAACAAATTAGCGAAATGGCAATAAACAAGCTTTTATCTTATTGTATCAATGCCGATATACTTCATTTAGTCCCATTCTCATACAGATGTTTCCAATAATTGTATAATTACATTTATTATATTAGATTATAATTTCGTGCGTGTATGTTCAACGTTATTTATATTTATTCGTTATTATAATAAAATGTCTAAGAACAAAATTTGAAGAAAATATTTATTTTTCACTTTTACTGTATAGTTGATTCTAAAAACTATATGGTAAATTTATTTCAAATTTATTAAGGCGGGGGTATTATGAGTTATTGAAAATCTAAAATTAGCGCTGAGTAAAAAGAGGTTGGGAAACAATGGGTTAAAACCACCATATTAAACAAAAATTTGAGTCATTTTTGTTGGATTTAGTTAAATACTTTGTTAGTTCTTCTTTCTAAATTAGCTAAGTAAATAAATACAATTTTTAATTAATTTTTTTGTGTATTAAAATTGATTATTAGGTAGGATTTTATAAATAAGTAACAATGGATTACCTATACGTTTTTTCTAACTAAAATTAATACAAATTAATAATGATAATATTACAACTAAATAATTAAACGTACCTACTAATATTCTGTTAAAGTATCTGTACCTAAACGAAATTCACATTATTTAGATACGAATAATTTCGCAATCATTTCGATTTATATCCTGCGCAGTGGGTATACAGGTATACCGCAGGTGTACTATAGATGTACGCCTACTGTCTACCTAAATAATAATTACAGCCGAATCGTACGACATGGCTAATATTTACGAATATACTCGTTCACTGTATTGATCGATTTGATCCGAATTCGGCAATTACAAGTATTATATCATATCAGTACATCTATTTTGTCGGTGCTAATAAATTCACACTAAAACGGCATATATATATATAGATACACCAATATTGCGTTGTCAAAATAACAATTAAAATCATTACAAAATTATCCTACGGATTTATATAAACGGATTAAGTATTATTTATAAACAATTTGTTTCATCTTCAAATAATCAAATAACATAATAATTATATTATTGTATAGATATTACATATATGACATCGCTAATTGCAAATCTTTTTTTATGAATTTTATGAATTTTTCAATTTTTTAAACGAACAGCACAGTCAAAATATGATCGGTTCTGGCATGCGCATATACATTTTCATTCTCTCTACTCGTATAAATATGTTGTATTCTTTATAGCTAGAGCCTAGAATTATAAAATGCGTTTGAAATCGAACTGTTTTTATGGACCAAATTGTATTTTGTATATCGATGCCATATTTGAAAGGTTAAGGTATTTTTTGTTATTATATCAAAAGTTCGTAAAAAATATAAAAAAAAAAATTTGCAATTAGCGAAACTCGATATGCAATTATTTAAAATTATTTGGTGGTATTTTGAAGTCGAACCGACAAAGTGAGGGGGGGGCAACTTCGTGATGGTCCAAATTATCTTTGTATTCCTAGTCCATTTTATTCATAAGCAGTGTCGCGCGGCAGCGTTATCGACTGAATGCCATCACTATAATACTATTAGTGTTTACCTTGGAATTTAAATATTTCTATTGATTTTGACTCACAGCTGCTGTCATCGACTAACATACCTAAACAAAAATACCTGCATGTTTATCGTACTCTGCATTTATTAGACGTTGCAGTGAAATTTTGTTTAACTAGTCACTGCATTCTATTTTTAGCTTTCCATTATCCCTCTGCATAGGAACCTACACAATATACATACCAATCTATTTGGATTTAAATTCTGGAGGTTAAACAACTACATATTTAGATACTGAGTTTAGCGAAGAATGTATTGGATTTACAAAGATGTTTATTTTCTTTTTTATCCTGTGTATAAAAATTCTACCAATAATTTTGCCCCAATATGCGGCACCAATTCTAAAAGGAAATACTGTCCATTTGGTACTTTTGGTAGATATTTTCTCAAGAGATTTCTCATCAAATTTGAAGAAAAAAAAAAAAAAAAGGAAAAGTGAGAAAACATAAGAAATGTAGGTATTACTCAATATATATTATGGCCTTCTTTTTTCCTGTAAGTGCTAATTTATGATTTAGGGGTGCTAAGCACCCCCTGGTACCCTTATATGTGCGTCAATGCGTATAATGATTATTTACCAATCTTACTTATACCCAAATTTAAAAGCAATAACAACGTTATGCACACAAATGTACGTTCAGAAATAACCAGATATACATAGGTACACAGTACATTTACAGAATGATAAACTAAACGTGTTAATTTCGATTTTTTGGTTAAATTTTGGATATATTCAAATTCTGATTTTTGAAATTCAGAGTAGTTAAATCAGATATTTTCGAATAATTGGTAGGGAGAGAGTAGAGAAGTATCATTTGTGTGGCGACTTGGCGTGTGGCTTTTTATTGGTTTTCCACTACTCCCCCCCAACTTAAACTTAATACTGGATATCTAATATCTCGTCTACTGGTTGCTGAAATCAAAAATTTACACCAAAATTTATTCAAAGCAATATTCAATCTCTTTATGGAATTTTTTAATATAGGTTCTTATTTAAAAATCAAAGTTTGTATCACCACAGGATACTCCTTAAATGTTGTGAAAAATCATACAAATTCTGAAAATCAGAATTTGAATACATGCAAAATTTAATCAAAAAAAGGGGTGAGCACTATATATATAATACATAAATATTATAAGGCTAAAATATTTTGAGAATCCATTTTACTATGATCAACATCTGGAATTCAAATATAGACAGTTTCCCCAACTTTAGCCGAAGAAACTTTAATTTTAAATAAAACATTTATAAAATTATTAACAAATTGTAAATTACTTATACTATTGTATAGGTACTAATTAGTATATCTAAATTAATAATAACTGTATTATTATTGTAGCTTATCCGCAAAACAATATTAACATGACCAACATTCAACAAAACCGTTATATATATATACATAAAAAAATTCTGGCCATAAAACTAAAAGTAACCAGGGACTTTTGTCTTAACTGAAGTATGTAAGAACAAATATACTAAATTTAACATTAATCTGTTCAATAGTGAAGTGACATAGAGTGCATAAAACATTAATATAGTATATACAACATAAGCCAACTCAATTTCATAAATGTATAAATAAAATTTAAAAAAAAACAGTTCATCTAATCATATGTATTTATTTAAAAGAATTAATCACTGGAATAAAATACCATAGTTACAAGTAAATATGAAATAATAAATTAAAAATATAAATTTATAAAAAATTGTTTTAAATAAAAATAAATTCAAAACATATGTTACATTTTGGTTTTTTTGGAAATAATTGAATACTTTTCTTAATAATAACTATTAGTATCATCAGATAAAAACCAATCAAAAAGTATTATTTAATTCAAAAATATTTTTACTAAGTACCCAATACAGTAATATATAATATTATAATTTTTTTTACAGTAATTTCTTAAAGTGAAAGTTAACATTAATGAAGATATTTTTATGTGCCCTTTCTATGTATTATGCCCATATAATAGGTGTAAAAACAATTTATAAATACATTATAAACTCTTAGAATATATCATTATTATATTATTTAATTTTAGTACTATTTAATGGTTTCTGGGAATGTATCAGCATTTCATACAAGTAATGTCAACAGATATGCAAAAAATGCACTTGTATATAATATATATAATATATAAATATATATATATATATATATATATTTCCTACAAACAGTTGTACATAAATAAAAATAAAGTATTATTTACATTGAGAATTTAATTCTTATGCTTCAATATCTTAGTTACCAGTATTTGAATCATTTCTAATGAACTACAAAATATTATTGATGCATAAACTATAAACTATTCACTATTTGTATGGACAATGATTATATTACATACAATCTATCTTGTTTTAATACATAATAAAATAGAATTACATTATAATTATGACATATTTATTGAAACTAGCATAAATTATATATGATTTTCTAATAACCTGACTGAAGTCAACTACAATTTTTTTTTTTCACAGTGCAAGTTGCATAACATTATTTGGCTGTAAAAGTACAAGATATTTTATAAAACTAAAAATTAGCAATAATTATTACTAAGGACCAAATTTATATGCACATTAAATCTACAAAACAGTAAAAAAAAAAAGGTACGAAGAAGTACTTTAAAAATATTTTTAAAAAAAGTAAAAATAGTACAGAAGTTTTAAAGTCCCTTCCTCCAAGAGTTTTAACCTTTAAAATGCATTTTTTTTTACAAACATAAAACTAAATGTAATTTGTTTATAATACAAAATATTTTATTTAAACAAAAATCAGTTTGATTTAAATTTTTATGTAGTGTTAAAAAATTTGTTTTTAATAAGTTAATGAGTCCTTACAGGAGACTTTTAAAATCCCTTTACCATCTTTGGTTTTTAATTATTTTTTTGACATTTTAGGGGCTTTTTATTTGATAATTTTAAGTGCATATAAATCTAATCTCTAATAATTACAATATAAGAAAATAAATATTAAATAATTAAATTATAAAGTATAGATAAAAATAAATTGTAGTTTATTAATAATAAACATAATGTTAAATGATGAATAGTACGTTATTGTCATTGAGTTTTCTGTTGTAATTAAGATTATATATTTTTAATGTAGAATAAATAATTGATTACAAAATCAATGAAATAAATGTAACTAAATGATAGAAAAATGATACAGTAGAGCAGTAAAAACCACTTAAAATATTAGATCTGATGTGTAGAGGTTAATGAATGTCCACCATGCTCAATTTTATAAACAGCATGGTATGCATTTCGTATCAGAGCGTATGGGAAACATGATTCAAGTAGATCCATTGTGAGAAATGGTGATTCTTGAACAATCTGTCAATAAATTGAATATGGTAGTAACAAAATTAAAAATTAAAAATGACTTAATAAAACATACTTGATCTAATAAAAGATACACAGACTCCCGGTTGCGCACAGTGTCTCGGTCAGCTTCCTGGCCTAAACGTAGGAGACTGGATGAAGCAAGCTATAATCAGTAAAAAAAAAAGTAAATAATAATACTATCACAGACATAAACATAGGTTATTTTGGTAATGCAATATATTTGATTTTTAATTTCTTTAATACTTACAGCTAGGAACTCTTTCATGCGGTCTTCAATATCACTTCCTGTGCCAGCTACTGATGAGGGATCAGTACCTGGTCCAGCTCCAGCAGAACAAACAGTAAAGAGGGCGCCGAATACTGCATTAACTGCAGCTGCAACGCAATGTACATTATTAGCATGTCCTTCCAATGAGGCTCGGTAAAATGAATGCTCAGATCTGGCCAATTTAGGAACCGAAACAGCCACGAAAACCATAAGCAAGCATGCAGTCAAATGTTCATCGTGCTCATCAGCTGATAAAATTAAAATAAATTACATATTAAGTATAATTTTCTTTAGAAGTTTACACATTACCTGTCTTTTGATTTCTGAGTGCAGCTGCTAAAACTGGATCCACTGCACATTCCAAACCTGCAGCAGAGGCCATTTCACTGACAAGCTACAAAAAGCCAGTATACATATTAATTCAAATAAACATAAAATACATTATATTAGTCAATTTATACGGGTATTTATAACTTACCATAGTATCTGCAGTTGCACCAACTCCATTGACACCAGGAGCTCCTGGTCCTCCAACACCATTTATAATGCATCCAACTCGAAGTTGATGTTGTTGGTGATAATCTTGTACACTGGCTAAAAGAAATGGCACACGGTCTTCAAGAACATCATGAAGTGCTGACTGAGCTAATTGCCGGAAACTTAATATTACTCCGACAATGGTCATACGCTGTAGTACATTGTCAACATCTATAGAAAAGTTGTTGAGGGTTTTATTTAAATAAACTACAGAGATGAAGAATAAATTATAATTTTTTGTGTTATATTAATTTATAACTGAGTTTTCAATTTCTCTGAGGTATATTCTAACTTACTTTCAAGTACCTCATACAATTAGCAGATATCACCTTATATTACCAAAATTGAATAGCAATTTAACACAAAAATATATAAAATTCTAAAATAAGCAAAACAAAACATAATATAATTAAATTATGTAAAATAAAATGCCAATTCCTGGACCACAATTAAAAATAGCTATAAAATGCTCACTAAACCATATATCATGCTACCCATTTTTATTTTTAAGAATAAAAATCTCAATAATGATAATAATATACAATAATAACCAATGAGCAACTCACGCTGTAGTTTTTTAAATTCAGTTTTCATTACATCAGGCTTATCAAAATTTGTACGTAGAGCCAACAAAACTTCCCGATTAGCTGCTACCAATTTCTTCGAAACGTTTAAGAAAAAAACAAAATTATTGATTAGTTAATATATTTAAATGATTTTGGATGTATGAGAATAATTTATTTATTAACCACATGGTGTTCAAATACCCTTGAGTCACTCACTTTTAACTCTTGTACCTGGCTAGCCACATGCCATGTCAGTGTTTCATTAAGCAACTTCATTCCGTAAGGGCCCACAAGTTCAGCAAGGGCCCGCAATTCGCCAATATCACTGAACTCTTCTGCATTGAATGGTACTGCACCATCAGCTGTGAGACTAACAAATGCCCGTTGATTCGGTGAATAGCAAATGTTACCTGCACTCACCCGGCGCAACAGGACTTCTGAATACCTGTAATACAAACAAAGAAAAGGGAATATCTCATTAAATCATTACCAAATCCCAGAGAAATGCGCTACTTTTATTGGTTGCAAAAAAATTGTGACCTATCACAAAATTTAACAAAGAAGAGTAATAAGTTCTTTTTTGAATGATTTTTTTTTCTTAAACAATTTAATTCCTTAATGAATGATTAATGGTTAAAATTACATAGAATAAAAACATTCATATCTCAATTATAAATAATTTGAAGATGCTTTAGTAAATAATCTACATTAAAAATGAAAAAGACGTCCTAGGATAATAAGACAGGTGCAGCTACTGTTATAGGTAATTTAATAAATACCTGTAAGCACCAATAAACTATTGCTTACAAAAACTGATTCTGAGCAGAGTTCAGTTGATAGTGATACTTTTTCAACAATATAAATGTAAGAATATAGTAAAATAATTAAATGAGCTCAATATATTTTTTTTAATAATATTTGTTTAATGGTGTACTGATTTCCTGAGTTTCCTACACATTTACCAGTTTACCTATTTTACCATTTTTGAGGAACTTCAGAAAATCCAAAAATAATCTCCTTAAAGTACCTGTATAATAATAGTGTAGTCTGATTTACTTTCAGAAAAAGTGCTATCATATTATTCTTATAGTAATCCTCAATTATTTACTACAAATAATATTACCATTGTGTATATGAAGAGGCAATCGTTTTGTCACCATGGCTATCAGCATGTTGCGTTTGCTGCAATAATGCATTATTGAACACCCTTGTCACATCAATGTGTACTTTACATGGGTAAAAAAATATTTAAATTTAATAGCCAATTATATGATATATTACTAACAAATTATTACCATAGTTTTCAACAGTTTGTAGAACACTCATATAAGCCCTTACACTGGCCAATAGCTCTGACGGTTTGGCAATATCACCGGTGTCAGCATTAAACATGGCCATACCAACCAAAGCTCTTCCGAATCTTGTTTCCAAGTGTTGATGCAAGTATTCTCGTGGTGCAAACGTATATTCCCATACATTTATTGTAGCACAATAATTTAGTGCATAACATAGTTCAGTGAGAGCCATGTGCAGCTTGTCCATCCTGTTGGAGTAAAATGGGATACAGATTAGAAACATACAAATAAAAGGACTGTTTGAAGAACACAAATGGAAGGTTTATTACAGATCATCACAATATTGTACATTATATTATCACTACCAATGGAAAGGGGGAAATGATGCACTGCCAAGCATTGCACACAGTAGGATAGAATGATATCTAGCTAGTCAAAACTAGTTTTAAAAATGCATATAAATTTAAAAAAAATATATATTCTACGATAATGAAGATTGGCACAGCCACTGTAATTTAATGTATATCTGTAAGCAACAATAACCTATTGCTAACAAAAAACGATTCTGAGCGCAGTTAAGTTAATAGTAATGCTTTGTCATCAATATATAAGTCATTTAATAGCAAAATAATTAAATAAGCTTTGTATAATGACTTTAATAATATTTGTTTAATGGTGTACTGATTTTCTCAGTTTTTCTATATTTTTTATCCCGGGTTTTCACATTTTTTGGGAAAACTCTTCGGAAAATCGAAAAATGACCTCCTTAAAGTTCCTTTTCAGTCGAGTTTTTTTTCAGAAAAATTGCTATCATTATAAATCAGAGCCAAATATCTTATAGAATAGTTGTTCACAGAGGAAAAAAAAGGCTGTAATATATTTTAACAACTACATATATTTTTTATATTTTCCAATTTTTCTTGTTTTTTTTTTCGGTTCCTCAAATTTGAAGAGAAAACTCATGAGAAAAAATGACCTTTCCATACAGAAATTTCCTTTTACAAAAATCGCTATAATAAAAGCATTATGTTTGAAAATTTTCCGTTTTTTTTACGTTTTATCTTGGTTTTTCCCAGACATGAAAACTGTCTAGAAAATCAAAGGATAACCTCCTAAAAGTACCATCTCGACAACATTCTCTTTTAGAAATGGTGCCGCACATATATATAGAAGCAAGATTTCTGATAGAATTTTTTTACACAGTATAAAAAAATATAAACATCTTAGTAAAACCAATACATTCTTCGTTAACTTCGAATCTAAAATTATATAGTATTATCTACATTCTAATGAATCATGAGAAAACAAAAAATACTCCACATAAAAGTTTTCATAGCCTCTTTTTGTTGTAAAATAGAAAATTAGCAAATGTATTAATATCTATTTTTCACAAAATTTAATGTTTAGTTAACTAATTTTTATTAAATATAATATTTATGGAGCACATTACTAATAGCGCGACACGAAAAGGACCATACCAAATTAACAACTAAGTTAAAATATAGATACTATTCTAACCAATGGATCATTTGGTTATAGTTAGTACAAGTAAATAAAAATATAATTATTTAACTCACGTTGTTAGTTCTTCACGTGTCTTTCGGTAACTTTCCACTCCTGGTTTGTCATGATCATCACCCATTCCTCCAAGTAACATTGTAGCTCCTGCATTTTTCCCTTTTCCGCCAGAAGAGGATTTATCTTTCTTTTTTCTATTTAATGCTTGTGCAATTAACAGTGCACAATGTTTGGGCAGAAGCCGGTCACTCATTGTGCATTGTTCATCACAAACAGTCGTTAGAATGTTTTTAGCTTCCTTAGCCATATCGTCTAGAAACATATTGACAACTGATAGGCTGCGCTCGCGTATGTGATGGCGCTAAATATGAGTATTTGAGAATAAAACATTGAAAATATTGTTACCACGAAAATGTAAATGAAAAGGTACATGAAATTATTACCTCTTCAGGGCACAGTTCATGAGCGCAAGATTGAAAATGGCCACATACAAGAGGAAAAGCTATGATGTACCGGTTCTGGGCGGGAAACTCAAGACACATGTGAAACTGATCTTCAAATGTTTTATTGTAGAAACTGTCAGAATAAATACAATTAAGAATAATTAAGTGTGGAAGACCCCTTCATCAACATGTCCACCTAAATGAACATAATTGAATCAATATATTGCAGGGGAAAAATAAATACACTACCAAAACAGTGACAAATCAGATGTGTCAACAAGCATTTCATCTAGGTAGTCAACCATGCGAGTATGGTGGGCCGCAGTATCTAGCTGAGAAGCCAGTTGCCTATGTTCAAAAAGGTTCAGTTTTGAGCTATTACTGTTATATCCAGTACTGGATCCAGCTGAAGAACAATATGCTTGAACACGAAACCAGTCAAGGCGTAAAGCACGCAGATCAAACAACTCATTGTCTTCCACTGGAATTTATGATGCAATGTTAATACATCTATACTATATACCCGAATAGCCACAATTGCATATAAAAAATAATGCATATTTATTGTTTAAAAAAAAAGTACCTTGCTTGACCGACAGTGATGAAATTGTGTTAATAATAGACTGAAATATCACATAAGAAGGATCCTGATGATAATGATCTTGTTGATTTCCATATACAGACTGAATTGATTGAGATAGTTGTACAACATCAAATCCTACTAAATACTGGACATAGTAACGTTGAACAACTTGACTATACTTACGAACCAGCACTAAAAAAAAAAAAAATAATGAAATAGTATTAAAGGAATTATTCAATATTAATTTTCTCAGTGAAATAAACTATGGAAATTATTGCAGTTGTAACTCACTTCGAAGCTCTTCCATGTGAAATAGTAGTTCTGGAAGTTGTCTGTCTACCAACAAATCTTCAACGGCAGATGATGATTTTCCACTAGAGCTAGATTTACCAGTATTTCCTGAACTGGTTCCAGATCCTTTTTGACTGTTACCACCTCCAGAATTTGGGGCACCATGTCGTAAAAGCCAGCATACTTCATCTCGAGCCAAACTTAGACCAATGAATACTAGTAAGACTTTTGGTCCAAGTAATCCAGGTTGATCCGTTAAAATTAATGCTAATTCTTTTAGAGCAGTGCGCAAGTACTTACGCCGCTCACGATGACGATACACACTGAAAAAATATAATAAAATAATAATTAAAAAACCATATACAGTAATAAATTAAAATCCATAGTTGTTCTTATAAACAATAGGTAGTACAGTTAGGTCTCATTAATCGGAAACCGGACTTATCATTAAAATGTCTATAAATAGCTCCCAAATGATTTAAATGTTTTGAAAATGTTACTATATCTAGAAAGAGCAAATATAAGATTACTGACTACATATAAACTGCAAATATTTTTAACTGAATTAAAAATAAAAACAAAAAAACAAAATTGAAAATAATAAAAGCATTATTTTTATACATTTTCTTGCTTTTTCCCAATTATTATAAAAACCATTTGGAAAATCAAAAAATGACCTCCTCAACACACCAACTAGATAAATTTTCTTTTTAGAAATGATACTAAATTTGATATATCTGAGCAAGATTTCTAGTTCCTCACAGACAATAACAACAAAAAAAATATTAATACAAAAAGAAAACACACATCACAGATAGATCCGAATCTAAAATATAGTAACTAATATGTATGTCTTCTTCTTCTTCTAAGGTGTCTTAAAGACCATTAAGGTCCATTGCCGCAACAACAACATCCTTCCACTTTTCCCTGTCTCTTGACATTTCCTCTGCATTTTCCATACCAATCATCCTGAGGTCATCCTTGACTCTATCAGCCCACCGTTGTCTGGGTCTTCCTCGAGGCCTTTTTGTGTTTGGTTTCCATTTTGTTATGCTCCCCAGTACTCCTTCCGATCTCCAAACATGACCAGCCCATCTTATTCTGCTACTCTTCATAATTCCTATAATATCGGCTTCTCCAAATAATTCTCTCCTCATTTGTCCTAATTTCAAATTCACCTCCTTCATTCTTTTTTGGTCCAAAAATTTTCCGAAGTATTTTTCTTTCCAAAACACCCAAATTCTTCTCATCCATTTTTGTGGTTGCCCCCATCTCACACGCGTATAATGCTATAGGTCTAATTAAAACTTTATACAATGTTGTCTTTGATCTTCTTGAGAGTAATTTTGATTTGAATAGTGTGGATAATCCANCATTCACCCAAGTTCCTAGGTATTTGAAATGTTTTACTCTTTCAAATAAGAAATCTTCTATTTCTAATTGTCTTGCCGTTTGATGTTGTCTGGATAGTATTAGGTATTTTGTTTTATCTCCATTTATGTTAAGACCTATTTCTTTCCCTGCCCTTATTAGCTCTTTTGTGGATTGTTTCAGACTCTCCTCATTTTCTGTTATAATCACTAGATCATCAGCATATGCTACAATTGTGAGCTGTTGGTCATCACTAAGTTTTAATCCTTCTGCCTTACTAAGAACTTGTCTCACCATTGACTCTAAGGCAATGTTAAACAAAGCCGGTGACAATGCGTCTCCTTGTCTGAGACCTGTCGACACTGGGAATTCATTTGAGTAGGTTCCTCCAAAACTCACCTTGCATTTAGAGCCTTGTAGGCACACTTTGATTATTCTAGTAAGTTTTTCTGGTATCCCCAAACGGGACATTACGTTTCACAGTTTCTTTCTATCTACCGAGTCCTATGTTGCTTTAAAGTCCACAAAAAGCATATATACATCTTTATTAAATTCATGGCTTTTTTCTGCAATCTGTTTTATTATATGAATCTGATCTATAGTCGATTTACCTACCATGAAACCTGCCTAGTATTTTCCAATAATTTCTTTAATAAATGGTTTCAATCTGTTTAATAAGAGGTTAGATAATATTTTGTACGAAGTGTTTAACAGAGAAATTCCTCTATAGTTCTTTGGGTCAAAAAGAAAACACACGTCACAGATAGATCCGAATCTAAAATATAGTAACTAATATGTATACTTACGCTTTTTGGGTAGCATGTGTATATGTTTCTTTCACCTCTGATACTCTTTTGCTATATCCTTTCAATGTGTCAAAGAAAGTTTGAATAAATGAATGAATGGCCACAGTTTCATCTCTAAACAAAGCGACTGACCAATTTGACTCCAGTGCAGCCATCCATAGTTTATGAGCCACATTGCCATCTTGGGTATGTTGATTTTGAGATGGTTGCTGAAGAGATTGATGGCATAATAGAAAACCAACTATCAGATGAAAGAAAATTAAACATAAGTGTATAACATATTTAGCACATTAATAAGAAAAATTAACTTTCAATTACTATTAATATTACTTACAAATAATCCACCGCTCCATTGTTTCTAGAGAAAGATATTCACAAGATACAGTATCAGTAGTAGAAGGTTTCAATAACTGTGCAGGATTTCCTACTAAGCTGAGTTTCTGGTCAGACCTAACAAGAGTAATTGAATTTAAAATGAGTATTAGTTTTAGACAAGGTATAGTTAAAATTTATTATTGGTTAATTATTTAATTGATGTAATTTAATTTTTTGTTATCTTTGAAGATTAAATTATATTACTAACTAATTATACTTATACAAATATAATCAATTATTTTTAAATGATTTTAAATTTAACTAAAATTGTGAAAGAATTTTAATTTTTACTAATGTAATAGTAAATTTAAGAGGATATTTAAACCATACAAATTTAATTAATGTTCAAGTGTTTCATTGAAGTAAATTATTTGTTTTTAATAACAGTAACAGTTTTTTCTCCTATAACTAAAATCATGAATCACTTAACATTACCCAATTATTTAACCTACAATGTATTGTTTTTAATATTTTGTGTGAAATACATAATAATAATAATAGCACTATGACAAATAAACTGATTAAATAATTTAATAAAATTAAATAACAATTAATAACTTTTACCTCCATTTATCAGCTGTTAAATTGCGTTGCACATACACAGGCCAAAGAGAGCATAAGGCCCCATTTAAAAGTTTAGTATGTGGTACAAATTCATCAGCTAGCCGGCGTAGTGGTTGTTCATAATCAACAATCATTTGGCCAAGACGAGGAAAGCTAAGATCACTGTGGAACATTATTTTTGTTAGTACAATTTTACATGATAATAAGTTAGTAAATATTTAAAATAAACATATTGTAATTATGAAATAACATAATAATGTTTTTTTTTTATATATATAATGCGTAATTAACTCAGTTAATATTATTTAATGATAGTAATAAAGTAATACCTTTGATTGTGTACCATCTCATGAGCAGCATTAAACAAGCCTAAAACAGCTTTGCGATCTTCTACTCGTGATAATAAAACCATGAGAGCAACATAAGTTGCAACCAGATCTAGATAGGCTCTTGTCAGCTCATAGTTGACTGTCTAGATATAACAATAATAATATACAAGTAATAAATAGTAACCCAACTACATAAGTAACAATACATATTTAATAAAGTTAATAACTCACAATATCGAGGTGAATCTGACAGGCATCCATGGTAGTTAGCAATTCGCATACCTGATCCTTGAAATCTAAAAGATCGACAAATGTATAATAATACAATGACAAGGATTTGATGATATCACTGCGTATAGGTGTAATTGCTTGTAGCTGTTGATATACATAGAAAGAACCGATCAGTATACAAAATATATGTATAAACAATTTTTAATTTAATACAATAAAAAAAAATTTACTCCTTTGATATCCACATTTGGGAACCGCCTCACAATATATTTTATTGCAGATTCCAGTGTCTTGTCTGATAGAAATGCAGGCTTGGATTTAGCATCTCCGCATGCCTACAATGAAAATAATAACATTGAAGTTTACTACTTAAATAAAATATTAAGTAAAACTTTAATGTCTGTCAATGACAGAACCAAAAGAATGACTAAATTAAATTACAAATGGATATTATTGGTCCCATGAAAAAACATTGTATACCGGGGGCCGGGAACTCTTTTGTGTAAATGAACCATTTTATAAAAAGAAATTGCAAACCATGATTTTCTAAGATAAATAAACATACCACAGTACAAAAAAAGACTAATAAATTTTACTAAGAATTAGTAGGCATGTAATTAATTTTTTTACGTAGACAATTGGCCTGGGCCACTTTTTCCCCCTTATGATTGATGCTTTGTTAATATAAATTTAATATTTATATCACCTTTTTCATAGTTAAAGATAAAACACAAAATTATGGTCAGTAAAAATTAATTAGGACTGTCATTTGTCCAGATTTAAAAATGTATCACTTTAGATTCTGAGTGGAGTGAAGAAGGTTATGGTTTTATAAAGATGTTTATTTATTTTTCCTGTGGACATTTTTACTACCGGAAATCCTGCTCCTATTTTCAATAATAGCACTTTTTATAAAAGGAAATCGGACTTTAAGGAGGTTCTTTTTGGATTTTTCGAGGAGTTTTCTCAATAAATGAAAAAACCAGAAAAAAACAAAAAACTGGGAAAATAGGTACAATATTAAACAAATATTACTAAAAAAATATATAGAACGCCTATGTAATTATTTTACCATAATATGACATATATATGTCGCTAAAGCAACACTATCAACTGAACTCCGCTCAGGGTTTTTTTTTTTGGAAAGAAATGATTTATTGTTGCTTATGGATATATATTAAATTTCTTCTCTACTGCCTTCCTAACTTCTCACCTACAACAGTAGTCCACCCACATACAAAGTTGCCCGGTTTTTTTAAAATATGTTTATAGAGTATTTTAGTTAACATCATATTTCTTTTTTTAATTTCATACTGATGAACTATAATCATTAAACAATAATAATCTAAGTATTCAAAGTTAAAATTGTATTAAAAATGTAAAACTTTTAATTGGTAAATATAAGGAGAAAAGGGGAAGTTTTATTTTCTCAAACATGAAAAATGTATTATTTGTTTGTAATAGTTTTAAAATGAATTTTTCAAAAGATGAATTATAATTTAAAGTATATTACATTATTATATTGCATTTTTTTATGTTTCAAAAACATTTTAAAAATGTTTCAATTATTAAGATATTATCTGATTATCTTGTTAGTGTTACTCAGTGATTACTTAAATTGATAAACTATAAATATAAAGTTGGGGACCAATTAATAAATTATGACAAGCGCCAATTATCCGTAAACGTGGTTTATTTCATGGGGACTAATAATTGTCTTAGACAGATAAAAAATTATTAATTTAGTTAAAAGTATGCAACTTATAATAAATACAGGTAATAACCAATTGAATTTAAAATTTTCGAAAAGGTAACTTAATAACCAATATGAACCGTAAGGTAATAAGTGTCATGTTAATGGTTATTATATGAATAAAATAACAGATAAATTATGATATTTTACAACCTACTATATTATATTTGAAAAATAATATACCTTTTTGATGTTATAGATTCTAGTGAGCATGCCAACGCCCCGGTCATTGATTAAACTTAGCTTTTCTGCCAGTTTGTGATGACCAGCCGAAAGACCACCACCACCACCACCACCACCACCACTCAGGGATGAACCTGAGCGTGACATATCTGTCTATGATGAGCTTGCAAGTTCAACAGATAAATGTGTACCGTACACTTTATTACGTTTATTGAACGTTTATCGACATTAGTGTTTCGTGTATAATCGTCACATACCGTAGTTATAATATTATAGTAATTTTATCATAATCATAACTATAATGTTTTTAAGCAATTAGGCGATGATAATAAAGCAATCGCGTACAGTGTGACAACCACCACAGAATACCATCCATTGAGTGTTTACCATCCCCAAATTGATAACAACATTAATCAGTTTTTGTTTTTTTTATCAATTATCGACAATCTGTGTTGTTGTTGATTTCACGTGCTGACCACTGGTTAGAGATTACTGATTATATATTCTTAACCCATGAGGCCACAAACCTATTAAACTTAATCAACACAACTGTAGCAAATTGCAGTTAGCAAACGAATTACGAAGGTTATCTTTCAACTATTGCCGTGGTGGCAAATTGTTCACATCTCACGTGTTATAACGTACAATTTCTTTTACTATTTAGTGTTCTGTCACTGCTCACCTACGTCACTTGCTCACTTGGATTCCCAAACTTGACAATTTGAAAAACATGCCACCCAAAAAATCGAAAAAATTGAATAAAAAACAAGATTGGAGTGATGACGATGATGTAGCAGGTAAGTTTGCGGTTTTTTCGAGACATATCGACTTTATAACATTTTAATTAATATTATTCATATCGCTTGAATGATAACAACAAAATATATTATACCTCAATCATTGTAATATTTATAGGTTTTCTCATAAAAAAAATCCGCCAACATTTTCAATTTGTATTTTCTGCGTGCTCTTTTATAACTAAATAATATTTACATTGAATAGTTTTAATCATCATTTAGAAAAGTTACCTTTTTAGGCTTTGGTAAAATTGAGGATAAAAAGGTAAACCACTAAATAAAAATAGGTGTACAAATGTTTGGTAATCGTGGAAATCTTTAATAATTTTGCTGGAAATATATAGGAAATCTTTGTTATCACTGGAAAAGTCAAAGTATTCCGAAATTTGATGTACAAAATATTAATCAGTGATTTACCCTAATAAATAAATACATTTTTTGTTGAAACGTTCATAAAACAAATGTTTTTTCTATTTTTATTCTATCAAATGTTCTATTCACAAATAATGTGAACAGAACCTTTTATTACTTAACAGTTATTAAAAATAAAATACCGACCTATTAAAAGCTACATTATAAATAGTAAAAATGTATTACCTATTTCATTGTCCAATAGGTTTCTAACATGTTGAAGTATGGCTTTTTGGTTTGAGAAAAATATATTAAAAAATGTCACATAGAATTTTTCTTTGTATACCATATAAAAACTTCCATCGATCAGATTTTCCTACTTTCACCAACATTGAAGAGTTTTTTTTTTTTATTTTGTTAGGAATTTATAAATTTGATTGCCATTTTAATAAGGCTGGGATTTATGTGTAAATATATATTTTTACTAAAACATGATAGATTAATTATGGCAAATGATAAATTAGTTTCATGTTATTTACAATAAAATAAGACATATTTTATGTTACATATGGTGTACATATTTTTACATATTTCATAAATTTCATTTATAATAATAAAAAAATTTAAATAATTTTTAACAGTTTACATAACCGAAATTGATGGGTTTAGCAGTATTATTCTTTGATAATAGTTGGCAGTTGGCACTCATTAAAATTTTGAATATATTAGGTATATTATTTAACAAATTTATATTATTGACTTTAGATTTTCTTATCTGTTTTTGTTGGATAATCATACCAGAGAATATATTCATATTATTATGTTTAACAACTATTTGACATAACAATGTATTGATGTAGGTATTACAAATTTACAACACTGTCAGAACTTGCATACTTCATAGTGGTAATGTGGAATGTCCATTTAATGGATTCAATGTTAAAACTAAATTTTCATAGTTTTAATTTTGAAAATTTAAAACACTATATGATCTGCTATTGTTTTAACTTGAAATGATTAAAAATTAAAAACAATAAATTATTGTATTTTGTGAAAATTTAAAAAGTTATTACATATCTTAAATTTTTGAATACATATTTTGGCGATTTTAATTACATGTATATGTACATATCTTAGATTCTGAGTGGAACGAAGAAAAAAACAAAATATAATATTACAATTTTTTTTTTTCTGTGAACAACTCTACCAAAATTTTTGTTCGAACTTTTAATGATAGCAATGTTTCTGAAAGAAAATTTCACTGAAGGGGAGGGGTACTTCTGAAAAGTCATTTTTCCATTTTCCATTGAGTTTTCTCAGAAAATGTAAAAAACTGGGAAAATCGGTACAACATTAAACAAATATTATTTAAAAAAATATATAGAGCCTATTTAATAACTTTACTATAATATGGTATATATATTGTTTATAAAGCTTAACTATCAACTGAACCCTACTCTTAATCGGTTTTTGTAAGCAATGGTTTATATTGTATGCATTAAATTCCCTATAACAGTGGCTGCACCTGTCCCTATTATCCTAGGATATTTTAGGATTTTTTTGGTTTTATATTACATTTAAATCTCAGCCCTAGTTATTAATATTATATATAATATATACACATTTCATATAATTTTGACAATGCAATCATTGGTCTACCAAATAATAGAACTATATCAAAAATAGTTGGACTTACCTACCTAATGTTGTATAGTATAATTCACTCCTCACATTTATAATCGTACATATATATTTGATAAAACTCAAAAATTGTATTTTCACAAATAATAATAGGTACAAATATATAATTTCATGATAAAATATAAAAATATGCAGGAGTGCGTATAGGTCTGTGGAAATCAGTAGGAAAATAAGAAAATTGAGTATCTGACTGATGGAGGTTTTTCTAAATTGTAAAAAGCTATGTGATATTTATCAATAATTTGACATTTTTTTTCTAAGACCCAAAAGTATGGCTCTACCTTCAAACATGTTAATTTATATAACATTATTTAATTGTTATTAGTTATTATGTTTTGTTATTACTACAATAATAAATTGAGCATTGTACCTAATACTAAATATAATTATAAAGTAAGGAACATAAAGTTATTTAAATTATACCTGTAACAATAATAAACCATTGCTAACAAAAAATGATTCTAAGTGAAATTTAGTTACACATATTTTGAAATGGCGTTAATTTTAACGATTTTCATCTAAATTTCATAAAAAAAAAAAAAAAAAACACTTGTGTTAAAAAAGCTCAAAATGTTTTGAAATTTTACCACACTTAGAAATGGCTAATATAAGTATTCTGTGAACATTTCAGCTCTCTATGATAACTTAATCAATTTCAACAAATATCAACACATAACTTTCTTTGTCACCAATTAAATCTAAAATTCAAAGCCATCTCTATTTGCATTTATGAATATAATATTAAATTCTACATTTTGTCTATTAAGTATAAAAGTAATTATCAAGTTTTAAATTTTATTTTTGCATAATGTATTTTAGTCTTATATCGAGGTTAATTAAGATATATGTAAAAATTAATTTCCGTCTATATTATACGATCTAATTATCGTCTATAAATTATTTATATTTTTTTTATTTATGAATTTAGTGGATTTATTAGCTAATGGTAAAGCCAATGAAAATATTGAACATTCTCAGCCTACCCGTGGAAATAAAATATCTAAAAAAAACAAAAAAAAGACCAAAAATCAAGATTGTAATGATGAATCAGAAGGTATAATTTTTGTCAATTAATATTTAATGTATTCTTTTTAATTACTACCTAAAAATCTGAAGATTATACTGATAAAAAATTCTATATTAATTTCACCCTTCTGTAATATTAAAATGTATTATTAAGTCTCATAAAAATTAGGTATAAGTACTTAACAGAAAAAAAAATAGTAATTTTAATTTTAATTTACTTTTGTTCATCAAAAGATATTAAGCCACTAAATGTATTATTTAATTAAAGATGTGGTGGATATATTAGCCATTGAAAAATCTAATGACAGTGATCCAGCAAATAAAGAAATTCCTCCTAACCGTGGAAATAAAATTTCTAAAAAAAATAAAAAAAAAAACAAAAATCAAGATTGGGAAGATGAATCAGAAGGTATAATATTTATTTGATAATTTATTAATATTAATTAATTGTATAATGCTACTGATTTAGCTTAGATTTTTTGTACAAAATACCTGTGGCTTAGATGAGAATGTGAAACATAGTATAAAGTAGTGAGAACTGCAGATGTGACAAGTGAATTATATTTATACTTCCTGTTAAGTTCTAAAAAAGTGTAGTTACATTGACTATACAGTATGTTTTAGAGTACTGGATATTAGAAAAACAGATCAGAGGGTGAAGGTAGCAGAGAAATGGATAACTGTGGTGTAGATAGTAGGCATAATGAGAAAACATAGATTGAGATGATTTAAATATGTTATGAAAGAAATTAGACTCAATAAAAATGGTAATAAAAAATAAAAAAGAGGTGGAGATAAAGACTAAAATAAAGGTGATTTAATCTAGTATAGAATGATATAAGAAATGCCAGTATATGGGAGGTTGGAGATTAGGTCAAGTGGAAATTTAGAATGAAGCTATCCAATTCTAAATAGTTGGGATGAAGATAAAAAAGAAGAAGAATAATTAATTAATTTTGTTAATTTATTAACTATATTCTTATTTCTCTGTGATATTAAAAGTTGATATTTAATCTTTTAAAACAATAAATAGTTTTAATTTTTTTTTTAATAACATTTATTACCATTTTTTAGTTTATATAATAATAAAAGATATGCTTTACTTTAGATGTGGTGGATATATTAGCTACTGATCAACAAAATGGCGGTGATACAGTAGCCAAAGAAATACAACCTAACCGTGGAAATAAAGTATCCAAAAAAAATAAGAAAAAAAACAAAAATCAGGATTGGGAAGATGAATCAGAAGGTATACTATTTATTGGTTAATTTATTGTGTATTCTTAGTCATTCTACTAAAAAAAAAAAAAAATGTGAATATTTGGAACATTAATATTCTTATGGGTATTAAAAGTTAATGTTAAGTATTATACAATATGTAAAATAATAAAATATTATAGTTAAAACTTCTTCAATCACATTTATTACATTTTTTTTTTATCTACCAAAATAGTAAAATGTATGCTTTACTTTAGATGTGGTAGATATATTAGCCACTGCCCAACAAAATGGCAGTGATTTAGTAGCTGAAGAAATACAACCTAACCGTGGAAATAAAATATCTAAAAAAAATAAGAAAAAAAACAAAAATCAGGATTGGGAAGATGAATCAGAAGGTATAATATTTATTGATTAATTTATCATGTATTCCTAATTATTTTATTAAAAAAAAAAAAAATGTGAAAATTTAGAACATTATTATTCTTGTAGATATTAAAAGTTAATATTTAGTACTACACAATGTATGTAAAATAAATTATAGGGTTTTTTTTTTTTTAATTACATTTATTAAAAATATTAATTCACATAAATATAATATTTATTTTAGATATAGTGGATATATTAGCCACAGAAAACCAAAATGACAGTGATATGATAACAAAAGAAATACCACAACCCACCAAAGAAAAAAAACCTACATTCAATATCTTGGAAGATGAATCAGAAGGTATATTATATATTTTAGTTTATTTACCATTACCAGTACTATTGTGTCATTGCAATCATGTTGTTATTAAATTATGTGGTTAGCAGATTTGCATTTGTGTATTATAATCACCTAGTATGTGGAAGGCCTAGAATTTTAAATTTGTTTTAATTTTTTATCTGTTGAATGTTTGTTTTAAAAAAAATTATAATCATAATTCTTTTTAAATCAATAAAACTGAAAGTTTACATTTCAAGTGTGAACTCTTTAAAAGAAATTTAAGTTTAAAAAAATGGAAATACTTTTCACATGGGTGGGTCAATGTTTTAGATGAGAAGTTGAGAAGATGGAGAGGAAATTTAATATATATTTGGGCGCAACAAAAATTTAACCATTGTTAAAGAGGAAAACTATGAAAATCAAAAAATTACCTCCTTAATGTACCTCCTCATTTTTTTTTATAGAAAGTGCTACATTTAAAAACCTGAGCAAGATTTTTGATAGAAAATTTTACACAACAAATCAAGAGGTATTTTTCCATTGAAAAAGTCCCTGTTAAGGTAAAAAAGAAACCGAGTTTAAACTTACAGCCCTTAGGATAACAATATGTATGTTTAACCATTAGGCTACAAGATATTTTAAAGAAGAAAATATAGAGTTATTTAACATAACATATAATATCCACATAATATCAGAACTTCAAAAAGCTATAACTTCGAAACTTAGTCTGCTCAATTCTGACTTCACCATTGTTCTTAAATAAATATGTTCAAAAAAAAAATTGATTTATTCCTCATAATTTTTCACTTAACAATTTATATCAAAATTTGATATTACAATTCCATTATAAGAAAATATACATTAAACTCGAAATTTTCTTTTTTTGATCACAAAATAAGACTCTTAATGAACCTCCTGTTAAAATTTTAAACATAAATAAATAAAAATTACATACAAAACTCGCGAAATTTAAATGTCTATAAATAGCTCATAAATAACTTAATTTTTTGAAAATTTTACCATGTCTTAAAAAGCCAAATGTAGGTTTTCTGTCCAAATATTAAGTCTACAAATATTTTTAACTGAATTACAACAAATAATAGAAGCATTATTTTTGTAAATTACCAGATTTTTCTTAAATTTTATCTTGGTTCTTCTTAGGTATTATGAAATATTGAAAAATCAAAATATTACCTCCCAAAATTACTATCTGGATAACATTTACTTTCGGAAATGGTGCCATGCGTATATAAGCATATGAGCAAAATTTCTGGTATAATTTTTGTACACAATATAAAAAAAGAAAAGTAAACACCTTTGTAAAACCAATACATTCATTGCTACACTCAGAATTTAAAGTCTAGCTCTGAGATCTTGTCCGTATGTTCACCTTTTTAGATTTTCTTGTGTCATGACTGCATTGTACATACATTTCTTTCATTATATTAGATTATTACTATTAATTGTATTTTCAAAATATGTTTTATTTTTAAAATTAATTTAGTTGAAAATGATGGCATAGTAGAGAACTCACAGCCAATTGAGGAATATGATCTCACACAAACAAAAAAGGTGTCCAAAAAAAAGAAAGTGTGTAATTTTGAAGAAAATAATGAAATAACAGGTTAATTAATTGCTTAGTATTTGTTATTTATGTATTGTATTATGGCTAATATATGGGAAATTTGTGTAACAAAACAAATGTAATATTTAACAGTTAGTCTTAAAATAAAATTAAGTGTATAAAATAACAAAAATATATTAAGTCTAAACAAGTATCTTACAATTAAACATCAATTGGTTAGGACAGCAAAATCTGAGGAAGCATTATTAAGAAAAAATAGCATACAGTGCAAAGGATTAAAACCATAAGATCTCGAATATAGAGGAACATAACAAAAGAATATGGTTCCTGGTACAATACGAGGGGACACATGCAGTTTTATATCAAACAAAATATCAGGAACATTCAAAGTACCATTAAGAACAGATGAACAGGTGAATTTGAGGTCAGTGTCAGAATCACTAGTTGAGAGTAGGGGTATATTTAATTTTGAGCAAGTGGATAAATAGTCATGACTACGTAGTATTGATACGATAGTCAAAATTCAAAGATTATGTATAATATATACTAAGATTCTTAAACAAAAAAACTCACTAGAGAGTAATATCATAAAGAGAATAAGAGTAAGAGATGTGATTAGAGTGCCTGGTGAAAGTCATAATATAGCATTTATTTATATTAGGCTGAGTCTAAGGTTTTTGACTCGATAACATGATTTGTTTAGATCAGGTTGAAGTGTGAGACAGCTTTCCTGGTCGTCAATTTTTAAATATATTTTGATATAGATAAAAAAATTAGAACTTAGCTTTATTTATACATTTTTTTATGGAATTTACAAATAAAATGAAAAATAACGGGCTGAGATGACCACCCTGTGGGACCCTGAATGATACATCTGTCATAGTAGATACAAAATTGTGTTATTTAATTTATTGTTTTCTACCTGTTAGTTCTAGGTTAACCAAGAAAGTAGTGCCTATTTGCCTAGTGCTTTGAGTTCTCTGATTAGTAAATCCTAAACTGGCCTCTGTTTTCCATAACATTAGTCAAGTAAGATAAGAATATAACATTGCTATTGCTCGAAATGATTGATTTCCCTGGCCTAAACCCATGTTGTTGGGCAACAATTATATGATTCAGTGATTGTTATTTAGTGCACTTGTGATGAATTTAACTACATCTTTTTTGTTATCTCCATCTAAGATATCTATTATTTTACTAGCAATTTTTAGAAAGGCAGAAATTAGTAATAAATGTATAAATACTGGTTATTATTATAGTTGAAGAAAATATATGCTCACTCCACAATGACTCTACTAAAGAAGAACTAGAGGATACTGTACAAACAAACACAGAAGACTTTAATGAAAATATCCAACAAATCAAAACTTTTGATAAGGATGATGCATCAGCTACAAAAGGTAAAATTATTTTGTTTAATTATTGATATTTAATAAACACATTTATCCCACTAGATTTGGCTACTTAACAAATTCAATAACTTTTATTCTGTTTAGTATTTTCAAGGTTTTTTTTAATAATTACTATAACATTGCGAACTATCTTATGTTCTATATTATATCTCAGAAAGTATTAACTTTTTTGAGGATTTTCTTTTAATATTTATAAAATAAGCAATTCGAAAATTTTCCTGATCCAAATTTCATAAATTGATGGAGTATTAGTATAAATACATTATAGTGTTGGCATTTTTCATTTCTATGAATCCATTGAAAAGATATTTTACTTTTAAATTTGTGTAGTAGAAAAGTAGTGGATGTCTTTTAAAATGCCCCACCCTATGCAACCACACAAATGATGTTATTTCAACTAATACTTCATCTGTTAATGGAATTTTTAATATAGATTGCCATATGAAAATGTATGTAAGTACTCAATGTCAGAAATAAAGGTGACAAAAAATACTAGTAATGTAACATTTGAAAGTTATTTGTTTCTTAAACTGTATAAATCTAATGTAGTCATTGTATAAATTAAATTTGAAATAACATTTAGGTGTTAATACATTTCTACTATACTAAATATCTTATGCAATGTATTATAACACTTTATTCTGAAGAATGTATTATCACTTTTACTATATCTGATGATGTCCTCCAAGTTGAAACTAAACCAGCCAATCAAAAGAGATTAAAAAAAAACTTTAATAAGAATAAAGATAGTTTTTATAATGCAGAAAAATGCATTGATCTAATACCCATAAAGAGTTCATACTAATTTGTTAACAGTTATTATTGTCAAGGAAAGATTAGGACTACTGATGTCCTGGGGAATATCTTTCCCAGGAATGTTCTTCAAAACCACTTTTCTATCATTCTCCAAAATTAAATTATTATGGGACATAATTACAAATTGTATAATTTAAAAAAGTCATATTAAACATTATTTGTTTTATAGCCCAATTCTGATACTGAAAAACATGCAATTATTAAAAAACCTAGCCTTGTTTAATAATATATTAGTTTCTTTATTAAAAATAGATGGGAAATAAATAATAAATTATCATCTTTACATGAGTTCAGTATGACAGCGTCTGACTATAGGAACAGTTGCACAAGTGCATTTATTATAGTTTAAACAAAAGAAGGCTAGAGTTATACTTAGTAATACAGAAATGAGTATGAGAATACACTTATGAAATATAGACAATTATTGTTTACCTTTTTATTTATTTTTTGTCTACCTTTTATCATTTTACCAAGGATATAACTCACAAGTACACAACATGGACATAAATAGTGTAATTAAAACATATGATATTTATGTATGAATTTCATATAGGTAAAGTAAATGTATATTTCAAGTTTTTATGTAGTTTTATGTGTAGTTAAAAAGTTAAATAATGTTTACATAATATACTTTCCCTATTTAAGGAACTTTTCCCAAAAAGTCCATAGTTTTTCATTCCTGAAAAGATGCCTATTTTTAACTAAGACTATAAGTCATTTTGATTTATTCATACACTAGGAGTGGCCACATGTATATTATATTTTTGAATAAAATCATTAACTATTAGCTGAATTGATTATCCATGTCATAATAAAGTAATCATCTTCTCCTACAGGAGAAGATTTTTATTTTATTTATTTTGAATCTTAAAAAAATAATAATAATAAATTAATTATCTATTGAATAATTCTATTTCCATTTCTTTTAATTTTTTTAAAACAACTCATATAAAAACTTCACTGACTATATATCTACTGTCTACACCATTATCCAGGATTAATAGTGATAATAATATAATGAATCATTATAGTGGTGGATATTGAGAAACAGCAAGAAACCATCAAAAGTGGCTGTGTAGTTAATTCAGAAGTAAAACAATTAGATAATATTGAACATTGTGCTGCCCAAGAAGATACAAATCATATAGGTAAACATTTAAAAATATTAAAGAATTGTTGATAATAATTCAATTATACCTAATTGTTGTTAATTTTGGTTGGCCAACTTATATTGGGAATTAATCTTTTATCTGTCCAAATTTGAGCAAATAAGGTTATTCAGAGAATAACGTTATACCAAGAATAAGTTATTGTAGACCAATACATATTGTCTACAATATGCATTGTAAAACTTTATATGAAAAACCTATATTTAAATTATTATATTGATATTAAACTAAAAATATTCTTTTATTAGAAAAGCACAATCAAGTTGATGAAATCAATGAAAAAAATAATGTTGCCCTGTCAGAGAAAGTTAAAGCATCCAAAACAAAATCAACTATTATTGAAAAAATGTCTCACAAAGAAAAGAAAAAAATGAAAAAAGAGGTGAGTAATTACATAGTTGGTTTTTAAATGTATGATAAAATTGTCATTATTAGACAGTTAAAAACATCAAATTAAATCAAGTTTTTAAAGTTCACTACAAAGATCCATGATTTTAAGATTAATAAAATATCCACTAATATAAGTGTACATTGATGAATCATGAACAGTGATTTTTAATTTTATCAATTTGTTTAATGCTTCAGAGGGTTTTAAAACTACCAAAGAGGATAGTTTTATGGTTTTTATGACTTAAATCAAAAAATAAAGTATTTAGTATACAATTTTAAAGGACTTTTATTACAGATATTAAAATGTCCAATAGAAAATCTTTACTTAAAAACTGGGGAAAAACAGTAAATTTTTTTTTTTAATTATCTTATCCACCAACTTTATTTTCTTCTTCACTCATTTCTAATATTTGTTTTAATATTTTGGATTTAATTTTATCATCAAATAATGAAAATACACAGCATTTCTCATTTATGTACCACAAATGATTGATACATTTTTGTATTGCTACTTTTTCTAGTTTTTTTTATCAAATATAAAATAGTTAACTAATTTTTTTAATAAAATAATATAATTTTAAATGTAGCTGCAATTAAATCAGAAGCACATATATACATCTCTAAATATTGTGTAATAATAAAACAACATATTTCTTGTAAATTAATTTTATAAATTCCTAATAGTTCTAATAATAATTCTAATGATTCTTTTGGAAAACATTAAATTTGTTGTAAATTAATTTTATAAATTCCTAATAGTTCTAATAATAATTCTAATAATTCTCTTGGAAAACATTAAATTTGTTTTGTACAAAATATTAAAACTTCCATCTACTATATGTTTTAATATTTCTAAATTCAAAATTCAACCAGTTTTTTTGAAATGAAAATAGAATATAGAATACAAAATGTACAAATACAATGAAATATGAATATTTCAATATATGCATATTAGAGAATTACAATTTAATCCATGTATAATCTTTTTTCCAGACAATTTGATGTTGATTAAAGACAAGACTTGCACTATCCAATAATTTTAGATTTACAATATACATATTGTAAAAGAGAATGCTCAAAATATCTTTCTAATCAAACATAATATTTTTTAATTTTAATTTTTCCTTGAAAATAATTTATTTTTGTGAAAGTTGATATAACATTTTTCTATAATAATGATACTTAAAAAGTCTAAACTAAATTCTTTATTTCTTGACTAAAAAATCTGAAAAACCCAAAAAACTACTCTCTTTCATCTTTTTTCAACCTTCTTGAGGGATGTGAAAGAGAATAGTTATCATAATGGAATTTTGTATACATTTTTTCTCATGGCATTAAATAAATTGATGGGTACCTCATGTTAAAACTATAGAGTTATAACTCTATGATCAACACACATGCTGTGTATGAATTGAGATGATAGATAAGAGAGATTGGTAACAAGAGTGCGCAAGATTCACCATGACTTAAGATACTACTGTAATATATAAAGCTGTACGAGTGACCAATATTATATCCCAAATTTCATACAATTATATTAATATGATATGTCTGACTACTGATTAAAAAAACTTTAAAAATTTTAATACATTCATATAATGCAGGCCTATTAATTATTTATTTGAAAAATATTTAATAGAACAAGTCATTAATTGTCAGATGATTGTGGGACACCCTATATTTATATGATGGAATTGATTACAAAACTACATAAATTGGGCTGCTCAATTAATGAGTTGCCAAATGATACAGTTTATTAGATCAATACATTGTATATAGTTACAATAGGAAATATATGATAATTTAATATAAAATTAAGTTGAAATCACTATTATAAATCGTTGTGGGACAAGTGAAAATATTTGACAGAGAAAAGTTCTTATCACAAAACTCATTAAAAATCTGCTGTTCTTAGTGCGACATGGTTTGAACAATAATAATAACTAATATATTATAGTTTAAGGAAGCCCTAAAAAAGCGGAAAATATTTCAGTTGAATTGTAATTTAGCAAAAAAATATTTAATCCGAAAGGTAGTTTATGTAAACCATATTTTAGCATATTTTGTCTGAACCTTATTACAGACACTACCACTTGTGTTTTAGCGTTGTTGTTGGTTATAGTGGAAGGGGATTTGTCAGCTGAAATGTGATTCAGCTGGAATAGCCTTATCATTACTTATAACAAGCTTTTAGACTTAATTTTTTCTACCTATAATAAACTATCTCCCAGGCTGCATCTACTCTAATTAAACTGGATCCTTACCACCTATCGTTAATGTATCCTCTTGCCCTCCCAACATCATCTCTAACAGTATAACATTCCATATATCACATCATATATCATAAAAATTATGCTTACCCAAGTAAAATTTTTATTGTGTGCAAATGATTTGAAGATATTTCACAAAATTAAATCACTACAGATTCAGTTCTGCTTCAGAATAAATTAAGATATTTTTACAGACTAGGTCTCTCATTTGGGTCTATCTTTAAACCTTTCTAATTGTAATTTTATTTTTTCCTCCAGATCCTAATCTCCCATTTTAACCCCCTACTTTCTTAATGACACGGAAGTAGAACGTGTTTTCTATATTAAAGATTTTGATATAATGGTATTATCTATTCAACTAATCTAGGTTTTAATCTTCACATAGATATGGCCGTGAACAAAGCACTCAAAGTTTTAGGATTCATCATACGCAACACTTAATTATTTAAGTACATTAGATGCCTTTCTATTATGCCATTGTTCATTCTCCTCTTGAATACAGTTTAGACAAAATATGTGTCCTGTAAAATATGGTTCAGATTATTTATTTGTCATCTAAAATACTATCAGCTATAATATTTTCAGCTAAAATATTGCCCCTCTAATTAACATATTAGAGATAAGAAATAAAACAAAAACGTGTCATTCATCTTCCAGTAGTGATTTTTATCAATTTAGTATTATCAGTTAAAATACTGATTTTAAGTGTTATGTGAATTGTTGTTTAACATTTAATTTTAAATTTAATTATAGTATTTTAATCTATTCTGTGTTGGAATTAAAATGTGTAATTTAATATTATATTATAATGTAAAAAAATAAAATGTAAAACACAATTTTTGTCCAAGAATTTATAGATCTAATTATTAATAAATTTGATTATTTGCTTCATTATTTTTATTTCTTATAAAAATCAAGAGTATAAGAATATTACAAATTAAATAAATAATCAATTAAGTATTTCAATAAGACAGCTTAACAAAAATTATATATCAAGTTGATAGTTTTGAAAATGCATTCATTGAGTTATAAATTCAGATTTCTGAAACCAAATTTGTAATAATATATTAGTAATTACAAACACATAAAGTTCGTGCACAATCTAAATTACAAAAAAGGAAAAATTATAAACATTGTGGAGGAGTACCATATTGTAACAAAATATTGATCAATAATACCTACCTATACATTTTTTAATATTGTAAGCTTCCTATTTTTAATTTGACATTCTGAAACTAATTCTTTATTTAAAGATTTAACAGGAAAAAATATTCTAAATTTTACAAATAGTTTAATTTAAACAATAACATATTTAATCATATTTAGCCATCATTATATAGTTTAGACATTATACTTAACAAGTACCATTGATTTTTTTCAGTGATAATTCACATAATTATAATATTAACTAATTTATTCTAATCTGAGGCTGTAATAATATATCAGTTATTATTGCTCATACCAAATTGCACTATTAGATCATATACAATGGATAGCCACATCTCAATATTTTAATGTCCATTCGCCAGGTAAGTAGCCTTTAGTGGGCATATGTGCCAGCCATTAGTGGCATATTTATCCCAATGCTAAGGCTTAATATGATATGATGAATATTAAATAACTAATAAAATATGTGATAATAATAATACACATTTTAATGAATTAAAACTTGAATTTATTGAATTAGTAATAAACTGAAATCTGTATAAAGTATCTTTTATACATTATAGATAAGAACAAAATACATATATGTTGATAATTTGAAATAAATATGGAACTAGTCGCCTGCGCACATGTGCACTAAAGGCTATTCACTTGACAATATTATATATAATTTATAGGCTGTGGCTCTATCCATTGTATATTATCTAAGATCACACTACAAGACTACAAGTTTTTTATGAAGTTTTTGATAAAAACTTTTTTAGCAGCCTAGCATCTAACCATTTATATCTATAGCCTTGATTAAAGGTAAGTATTATTAATTTATCATTAATATCATTGAGATTGTATTTTTATTTTTTATCATAAATTCGGCATTGTATAATTATTATAAATATTAACAGATGTTATTGTTAATATTGTTAAGATGGAGTACCAAAAGCAAATGGAGATGTTGACTAAAAAAGGAGGACAAGGCCACAGTGAGTTGGGTTCTAACTTCTCAGTGTCACAAATACAAAAGACTGCCGGCCAATTAGCAGCCCTGGAGCATGCAGTTGACATTAAAATTGACAGCTTTAGTATTGCAGCCAAGGGACAAGACTTGTTTGTCAATGCCAGTCTGTTGATTGCCCAGGGTAGGCGATATGGTCTAGTTGGACCAAATGGGTACGTTCATTTTAACAGTGTCAATATAAAATCATCATAGTCATAAACATAATTAAAATATTACAGTCATGGTAAGACAACATTACTCAGGCACATTTCTGAACGGCTATTTGATGTGCCTCCTGGAATTGACATATTATATTGTGAACAGGAAGTAGTGGCTGATGAAACATCAGCTGTGAAGGCAGTGCTCCGAGCAGACACACGATGCACGGAGTTACTGGCTGAATGTAAAAAGCTTGAGGAAGCCCAAGAAAAAGGTACTGCTGAAGATGATGTGATAGACAGACTAAATGAGGTAATTATGATTTTGTGTTTTAGTATTGGGATGTTCCCACAAGTGGGATTGGATTTTTAATGAAATTTCTTTAAAAATAAATGAATAATTTTGATAAAATAATATGAGACTGCCAACCAGTTGATCCAATAATTGGATAATCAATTACTCAAATATAATAAAATGAACAAAGTCCTAGTCTCTAAGGTAAAGACATCAATGAATACCACTAATCTATGTTAATTTTAAGAAATTGTATATCTTTTATTATGCATGATTAGATCTAACCATTTGTTGAGGAGTGCATAGGTGTAACTAGACCAACAACTTTGGTGGGGGTGCTAAAATTATAGACACATCACAAAGCTTAATGGGAGTAATGTCTCCATATTCCTCTTTGCATTACTCTTATTATAAGCAACTGAACATTTCATTTGGAATTTTTTTATAAAAATATACCATAACTTTTAGATTCAGAGCATAGTAAATGTATTAGTTTTACAAAGATGTTTATTTTTATTTTCTTATGTTGTGTACAAAAATTCTACCAGAAATTTTGCTTTGATATATGCATGGCATCATTTCTGAAAGTGAATGTTGTCCAGATAGTAATTTTGGAAGGTAATTTTTTAATTTTTCAAGCGGTTTTCATAATCTGGGAAAACACAGGATAAAATGAAAGAAAAACAGGAAATTTACAAAAATAATGCTTTTATTACTTTTTCAATGTTGTTATTTATTGTAATTCAGTTAAAAAAATTCATATTGATTTTATGGAATTGAAATTCCGACCAAAAAAAAAATCATTTGAATTTAATTTTTTTCTTTTATCTAAACAGAGAAAAAACAAATGCATTTTAGGTGTACATAGAGATCTAGCCATTGGACCATTTTAATCGAAAAATACCCCTTGGTTTGTTGAGCAAACTTTTCTACCCGAAATTTGCTCTAATTTTTAAATGTAGCACTTTTTCTGGAAAAAGGGGATATCATTTTTAAATTCCCTCAGGAGTTTTATCAATAAATGTAAAAAAACATGGGAAATCTGTACAATATTAAACAAATATTATTAAAGAAAATATATAATGCCCATTTAAATATTTTATCATATTATGACATGTTTGAGTCATACACAAATATCTTTTTGTTTTGGCATACACTGATAGAATTATTGTCTAATAGATATTTAATATGATTTCATTAGATATGATTAATTTAATTTAATTATTTAACTGGCCATTGTATCATTTGACAGAAGAAAATTTACTACTTATTTGAGCCTTATTTTTAGAATTTTAAACTGGTGTCTTTACCTTAGATATGATATTACGTAAATGGATAGATTCACTAATCATTATTTGATGGATGAATTTAATTACTTCTGTCATCCCTTCTTCCATGTTGTATATGAGCAGAGGGTCGTATTTTAGTTTTGTATGTGTGTTTCAATGTAGGTGTATGATGAATTGAAAGTGCTAGGAGCAGATTCTGCTGAACCAAGAGCTCGGCGAATCTTGGCGGGTCTTGGATTCTCCGCTGCTATGCAGGACCGTGCCACCAAAGATTTCTCTGGAGGATGGCGTATGCGTGTATCTCTTGCACGAGCTCTTTTCCTAGAACCCACCCTGCTATTGCTTGATGAACCTACCAATCACTTGGACCTGAACGCAGTCATTTGGCTGGATAAGTAAATTACTTACGAATAAATTTATTCATATTTAATAGTATAGTCAATATTTAATAGTATCAACAGTTCATTATTATTTAATCAAAATTAGACTTGTAATTTTCATTTTAACTTATAAAATCACTGTACAGATATGATACAATTTTCAAAATATTCTCATATTTTTTGTATCATTAATAATTCTTTGAAATTGTTCAGTTTTTTATTATTATTATTTCATATAACCATAGGCAATAATTAACTTTTATTGAAATTAAAACTAAAACTTAATAACAGGTATAAATAACTTAATCATAATATGGTATTATCATGCATTAATAATAATATAAAATAAATAAAAATATTATTCTAAATTGTAAACATTAACAATGACAGCAGGGATTCCTGAACATTAGGTAAAATTAAACTAAAAAATATAGCTCAGATAATGTCTAATATACTTGTGATCACAGTCTTCTTAGTAGGTTTGTCAATCATCAATCATTTTAGAGCATCTGAGCTCTCTTTATGCAGCAATGAATTTTGTTGTTGGGCAATCATCACTTATATATTGAATGGACTTCACCACAGGTGCATAGAGAGGATCCAGTCATACACCATTTATGTAGTAACTCATTACATTTACCTTAGACTGTTCTTATTTTGTTTAAAGAACTACATTGTGTTTGGGAAAATCCAAATCTTAATACCCTTTGCTCCGAAAATGTGATTAGGATTGAATTATGACACTTCAAGTTTAGCTTTCAAACTTTCTGTTTGATATAAAACTCTAGTAGTTTAAGAGATATTTTAAATTTAATTTACAGCTGCCAGTTTAAAAAGTTCACAATTTTCCATACTGTATCATAATCAATGATAAATCTAGATATTATACTGCTGTTGATTTTTCTCTTTTTTGGAAACTGTTTTCAATTTATGTTGTCAGTCTGAGAACCTGCTCAGCATGGCTTATATGTGTTTATTTTTGATTTTATGAGATTACAAATTATTTAATTACCTTTTTATTTGCAATTTAAGTTCAAAGTTATGTTAAAAACACAACATTTTGTAATTAAAAATTAAGATAGTTGAAGACAATTTTCTATTATATCTCCAATTCTGTTAAATTTAAAATTGTTTTAACATTTTAATAATAACACTTGACCTCTGATTGACACCCATTATTGGGAAGAGGTACAACCATATTTTGTGCATGCATATAATATTTTAGACCAAAAATCAGGTCAATCAAAAGTTGTAGGTATTGCATTGACTGATTAAATTTTTGAAAGTTTATGGCTCCTTTTTTTAGGTCTAAATCAACTAAAATCTATAATGTAAACATTTTCAATTCAAATTTATCAAAACATGCTTAACCAAATCAAAATAGTTTTTTGTTAACAATGATTTGTAGTTAAATACAGATATAAATTAAACTATCCTATAATATACTACATTATATGATATATGATTTTATGTATGAATTGTAATCTTGTATGTTACAATTTACATTGTAAAATTTAATTTTAATTTTATATACACCATATTATTACAAGGTTTATATGGTACTGGAGGATAGCAAATATAAATACATGTTTTCTGCAGCTATTTGCAGGGATGGAAAAATACTCTATTGGTTGTATCCCACGACCAAAGCTTTTTGGATAATGTATGCAATGAGATCATACACTTAGATCAAAAGCGTCTCTTTTATTACAAAGGTAATTACAGTATGTTCAAGAAAATGTACTCTCAGAAAAAAAAGGAAACCATGAAGGAGTATGAGAAACAGGAAAAAAGGTTAAAAGAAATGAAACAACAAGGCCAATCCAAAAAACAAGCTGTATGTTTTTAAATTTCTTTGTATATTATTCATACTTTAGTGCAGATATAATTTAATATAAATTTACTCTATAAATGTGTAGGAAAAGAAACAAAAGGAAGTACTGACCCGAAAACAAGAAAAAAATCGAGGAAAAACTGGGAAAAATGCAGGCATGGATGATGATGATAATGCAGAACCCACACAGCTATTACAGAAACCTCGAGATTATAATGTCAAGTTTTCATTTCCCGATCCCAGCCCACTGCAGCCACCTATACTGGGATTACACAGTAAATCATTATCAATGGCATACATGATAAAAACTCATTTTTGTTTTATTTTATTTAACAATACAATAATAATTTATCATTTCATACAGATGTGAGCTTTGCATATCCTGGCCAGAAACCACTGTTTAAGAATGTTGATTTTGGTGTTGACCTCAATTCCCGGGTAGCGATTGTTGGACCCAATGGAGTGGGCAAGTCTACATTTCTCAAGTTATTGACCAATGATCTTCAACCCACCATTGGTGAAATGCGCATGAATCACCGAATGGTAGGTTTTATTGAATAATTTTAATTGTTATTTATCAAAACAAGGCTTTTTTGTGTGTTCTATTATTTTAAATTTAAATCGGTATGTAATTTCAGTAAATAGTGGTATCCTATATTCTATTTGATTAGATTCTATACTGAAGAAAATTTTTCAAAGAAAATTCCTTAACACTTTTGCTGCAGATCAATTGTATACACCTATTAGTAATCTGATATAAATCTGGATTTTCAGATAATCCGGATTTCAGACCTTAAATTCTGAAAATTATCTAATTGGTGCTTTAAGAAGTCATTTTTTTTTTTGAATTTCCAGGCAGGTTTTCATAATTATTGGGGGAAAAAAAAATACAAATATTTATGGCATACCAAAGTCATGATTTTACATTATTGTACCTAACTAGGGTTAAATAATTATAGAAACCTGTATTTTTCACAACATACTTGTATTGACCTTTTATAAATGTGGTAAAATTTTCAAAACATTTTAGCTATTTATAGTTTTGTAATATTTTTGTGTTTTATATGTATATTGGTAAGTAGCTGTGATTAAAACTATTATATGACTTAAATGACTTAAATTATATGACGAAAATCATAAATATTATGGTTTTTTAGTGGCTGCAATAGTCCACTATTTGCTTTTTTTTAAATTAATTTTTTTTTTATTTTCAAATTATATTCAATGTTTTAATTTTTAAGTACAAAACCATACCATTATATTAAACAAATAATGTTTATAGAAACTTGGGAAATATGACCAGCATTCTGGTGAACACCTGACAGCTGAAGAGACTCCTGCTGAGTACTTGATGAGGCTATTTGATCTTCAGTATGAAAAAGCTCGCAAGCAGCTGGGTACATTTGGACTGGCTGGCCATGCACACACCATCCGCATGAAGGACCTGTCTGGTGGACAAAAAGCTCGCGTTGCCCTCGCTGAACTTTGTTTGAATGCCCCTGATGTCATCATATTAGTATGCATACTTCTTATTTTCCCTGTTACCTAGTGTGGTTTTATTTAACAAATCTATGTATATTTTCGATTAAACGTGTGACATGAGCGCGAATGGAGGTTTACATTGAAAAGACATTATTTTCCATTCAGTAGTATTAAGTTGGAAGTTTAAATTAAGTCAACAATTCCCCTCCCCTCCCTCCTAAAGAGAGTTAATAAAGAAAGTTGCAGGACAGAACTGGATTCAGCGAGTTAAGCCTATAAATGTATTGAACTGTATCTTGCACCCACATGTGTAATTTAAAATTATGAACAGGTGGATGAAGTAAAGAGGCTGATATGAATTGAAAGCATGTATATGCATATATATTACAAACTCATCTAATAGCCACTAAGAGGTAGAGAGAAAGAAGTGATAGTGAACTGGTGAGGTGAATCATACTTATAATCATACAAAAATAATCTTTAGGTTATAAAATTAAAAACTAATATATAAATCAGTTAATACTGTAAATTCAGATGTGAAAGATTTGAATTAAATTGTCAGTATAGGAAATATATTATTTGACGTTTTAATACTCTTTGGGTTAATATTTATTTTTTTTAAATATACCATAGAGTAGTTGCTAGGAATATAATTCTACCATTCCTAACTCAATATGTTCTATTTCACTTTAAACATGTTTTCTGATCTATTACTACAAATTTTAGTGATAATTTTTTTCTTTAGGAGAAAAAGTAAGATTTAATGTAGGTATTTCCCACTTGCATTAAGAAAGACTTTCCTAGAGGACTGCCCCACCCCCTATATTAGTCTGTCACATTTACAAAAAAAATGACCTGCAGGAGCATAGTAATTATAGGGTTATTGCATTACTAAATAAAGTATAAAGCTCTAACATTGTATTCTTGAAATAATAGAACCTGTAGCAGAGAATATACTAGGTGACAATCGGGGAAGAGAAATAGAGAAAGCCAAATAAATAAACTCAAAGAAACCAAATTCCCAAGAAAATTTAAAATCCAATTGGAGCCAGTATCAACTATATATAGATAAAGGTCATGATAACAAATACAGCATCACATACTGTGATGGTGACTACAGGTCTCCAGCAAAACAATGCAAAACAACTATCCTCAGTGTTGTTTAATCTGATGCTGGGAAAATAAATGGGAGAAAAGTTAATGTTTTAGAAGGAATTAAACTAGGACAGACAACAATAAAGTTCTTAGCATATGTAACCAATGATGTTGCTCCTTTACGAGATGACCAGGAAAAAGTAAAATATTTGGAAAGAAAAGAAGTTAAAAAAAAATTGCATCATATTTTTTTTCTTTTTCTAAATTACTTATTTTTTCATATTTATAATTTCTATAAGGGGTTTTAGTTTGTTATAATTTTGTTTTCCATTTTATGTATAGAAGTAAATTCTTTTAACTAGTTACATATTTCAATTTTTTTTAAACACCTTTTGTTATTTATAAATAACAAATTAATACTTAATATTATTTATATGAGATATAACAGTTTAATTATAAGATTATAAAAATATGTGGACAAATATTAAAGTATATAGAAAACATTCAAAATATTTTTAAAGTGAAATAGGACTCATTGAGACAGAAAAGGTTCAATCTGACTACTGGTACTCTATTACTTATGAGATAAACCCATAATCAATAATATTAATAAAAATTACACACTATTACCTACCACATATTATGTGAGTGGTTTAATCTATGATTTTATATTGAAATTATGATAGCTGGACTGTTATTGAAAATTATTAGATTTTATCATCCTAACCAGACTAACCAGACAAATTTGAATAGGACATACACTAAAAAACTGATACTGTCATGCCTAATCAGGTCTTTAGTCAGCAGATTTAACCCCATTAGATTATAAATTAATTTTCACTTTTGAGCTCACTTCTAATCATTAGTTCTTATTATGAAATCCTTACTTCCATTGATAAGATAATTCACATTTTATAGGACGAGCCCACGAATAATTTGGATATAGAATCTATTGATGCACTGGCTGATGCAATAAATGATTACAAAGGAGGTGAGTGTATACTTTATTTATAAATTGAAATTGTCATTCAATACTCAGATGTTTTATTTTTAAAACAATCTTACTATCCAAACTGGTGGAATACATACATTTTAAGTTAAGTTATGTTTGTTCAACAGGGGTAATAATTGTATCTCATGACGAGAGACTAATCCGTGAAACAGAATGTACATTGTGGGTCATTGAGGATCAGACAATTAATGAGGTGGATGGTGATTTTGATGATTACCGGAAAGAGTTATTGGAATGCCTGGGAGAAGTGATAAACAGTCCCAGTATAGCCGCCAATGCAGCTGTGGAACAGTGACCCTGTCTTCCATATTTTATTTTATAATATATTTGTTCACGCTCTTGTTGTATTATTGTTGGTATCTTATTGGTAACATCTTTAAATATTCTTACTAATGTGCCTTGTTCACAATAATATAAAATATATTATTGAATAAATTAATAAATATTGGTTGATTTTTACTACACACATACAATATATATAAATATGTATAAAGATTTATTTTTATTATGATATACTACATAGAATAATGTTGCCTTTCGAAATTTATCACTTTACTGTAGCGCTGTGAATGTGATAGATATGATAAAAATGTATGATGAATTTAAAAACACAAATTTCAGTAGTACAATTATTATATTAAGTACTATTTTAGTATACCCAAATGTTATAATATAATCAATTTAATTGTTATTTATTTATTAAATTTTGAAAATGGACTTGGTTGCAAGTGCCATTGAAATTACAACCAAATTAATATTAACTAGAATTAATGAGAAAAATCTGAGTAAGTCTGATGTTGATAACATCATGTTCCACAAAAATAAATCCGATGGCAGTTAGTTATTTTGAAACAGTTTAAAACTTAAGAATTATATTTAATTGGTGTTTTTATATACTGCATCAGAATTGATTTATCATTTCCATATGAACCATGATATTTTGAAGTAGGTTTTGAATTATGCAACTAGATTTCAAATGTTGGTGTTATTTAAATTATAAAATGATCCTAGATCCCACATACTCTATGGCAGTGGTTTTCAAACTGGGTCATTTGAAATTTGTTTTTCTTAAATTTTGACAGACCACTGATTACGGTGATCTGCTCGTTAAATATGAAATCATAACTCATTTGAGTATGACTCATTAAAAGCAACTGTTTTTTTTTCTACATATGTACAAATACATAGATCGTTTTAATAGTATTATTACATTTTATATTATTAAAAAACGATGAATATCATATACCTACTTATTTATGTACAATTAAAACTTCACTATGCAATTTTTCGGGATACATTTTGATTGATTCAAGTACTAAAATAATGTCAAAAAATAGGATTCATAAAGCTACATAATATATATTTTTAAGTATCCAATAATAAACAATTAATAACGAAAAACGATTCTGAACAAAGTTCTATAGGTGTTTCAAAATTCCGTGGTATTTACTATTTTCTTGAAATTTTAAAATAAATTACTGTGTTACGGTCTACTTTTTTTTTTTATTAAGAAATACAAATTAATATGATGAACTGTACCTCATGAAAAATGTAGAATCAATTTCAACAATTTTCTTAGTCTGTTCTAAATTCTGCAATATGTACGTTATTGGGGCTATGAAAAACGTTTTATTGTTATACAAAACTGGTAGTTCATTGAAACACAATTATGTTTTTCCACCATAAATATCGTTTCAATTAAAATATCAAGAAACTTTTTTGTTGAATTTGTAATCTAGTTGGTGAAAAAGATACTGGTTTTTTGATTTTCTTTAATTTTTTCTGGTTTCCCCTCATTATTAAAAAAAAGTACCCAGAAAAATCAAAAATCATATAGTACGTATAATTTATAATGATTATGCTATATCATTTATAATAATATAACATAGATATGGGAATAATATTATGATGTACTGGTTTGTCATTGCACATCAATACTATAAAACAGTAGGTACCTAGTACCTACAATTTTCGTTTTACATTTACAATATTTTTATTCGGAATTGAATAATATAAAATATAAAATGTATCATATAATATTATACATACTACTATTAATTATAGTTATAAATAGTAAATAGTAAAGAATATGAATATGAACAACTGAACTATAACAACCTATAAAGCCAGCAGATAACATAAAAATAATAATTATCTTATTGATATTATTTTTATATTCGGCTGCGGGCAGCGGCATAATTTTAAAAGTATAAATAAATAATCACGTGGAAATTTATACACGTTGCCACTGTGTTGTAGTAGAGGGGCCGTGCTGATTACAACTTTGGAATTTACGGTGCCGCTTGGAGCAACACATTATGGAACAAAATTAATATATCAAAACTTGTTTACGTAAAACATACGAAACGGCATTAAAAGGGGGGGGGGTTAGAGTAAAAATACCTATCATGGAATCTCATATGCGTTTTTTAAAATATTCAATATTCAAAAAAGTTGATTATATAAAAAAATGTAAAAAAACCTGTTTTGGATCCTTTTATATCGAGATGTATATTTAAAATATTAAAAAACCCATGAGGTTCACCCCGAAATATTCTTCTCTAAAAATGCCGTTTCGTTTATTTTCCGTAAACATGTTTTGACGTAATATATTAATTTTGTTCCATAATGTGGACATGTTTTTAATACTGAAAAAAACCGGTGGCGTCCTTTAAATGAAATCCAATTTTTCTAAATTTAAGACTTATTATTATGTTTATAATACCTACTAATTTCCAATGAAATTGCTTAGTAAAATATGATAGTCGGTTTTTTGTACTATGGTATGTTTTTTTAATCTTAACCATTGCGGCTCTTTAATGATCATGGTTTTGCAATTTTTTTTAAAAATGGCTCATTTACACGAAAAGGTTCCCGACCCCTGCTCTTAGTCCATGCCAATGGTTTTCAAACTTTTCGGGTACACGGCTCTTGATATTTAAATAAAAATTAATTTACTGTATTACTCTACGGGAGAGCGTAAACAACCGAAAAATATTATGACCGAACGGTATTAAAGCCGATAGTATTTTATCCTAAAATATTACAGCCAACTGTAATAAAGAGATAAGGTCAGATCTTCCAAACAACGATGAATAAATAAAAAGAAGAGAAATTCTGTAAGTGCCGGAGTGTTTTGGCATAGATAATAAAGAAATGGATAAGTCACTCCTATAACGATTATAAGTGAGACAATGTTTTGGAGTGGCAATAAGGGGATGTAAAATAAGACGTTAAATTATTGTTTGGTTATCACTTTACCTCACATTTTATTATTGAAAAGTGATATTTTTTGATGTTACATTTGTAAATTAGTTTATAATTGAATATTATTTTACATTTTTTTTTATGTTTTGTTAATGCATAATTGCACAATATTAATAATTTAGTAATAATTGTCTTATAATTTGACTTTATCAAAACGCTCTACTATACATTTTTACCTAATTACATTTAATACATTAGTATTAATTTAACCACCTTCTAAATGTTTTCCAAAATATTAATTCGTCTGGCGAAACAAATATTATGTTTTAATATTACCTGTGTTTTATTTTAAACTATAAATCATTGACAATCCCAAGTCTATAAAAATAAGGAAATTTTTTTTTTATCACTTGTAAATATCTGGACCCAGCTAGTATATAACCTGCCAAAAGCTGGGATACTAGCATAGTACCTAAAATTTAGGACCCAACTAATGTACTACCTATCAAAACCACTTGGATCCATGACCCAATTTGGATGCAACCATTTGTTTAAGAGAAACTAATAACACATCTCATTTTTATTCGGACTTACACATATGCAGTGATGGTTTCACTGCACTCAAGAATCTATTTTGGAATTATTGGAATGGTGGATGAGAGATGTGGCATATATAATATGAATAGTTTTAAAAATATTGAATAACATCACTGAATTTTTTATTAAAAAATTCTTGGATAAAAAAAATATCAAAAAACACTTAGATCTTGGAGATCCATATCATCCATAATATCCATATAAGTGTATGCATTATTAAATAGTTTAGTATACTAAATTACACACAGATTTATAGTTTTCCACATCTGATGAGATCCTGTTAATTTCAAGAAAATATTATGATATATCATCAGTAGAGTTCATTTTAAGCAATATCGTTGTCAGATCTGACATTTTAAATTTCATTTCATTACTTGTTTTCCATATTATGTAGGATTCCATTTTATACTAACCACAAACACACTATTGAAAATAAGTTTACGATTGATAAATATTAGTTGAAATGTGAAATTGAATGTTATGATCAAAAGTTATCTGAGAATAAAACATGAATGGGTTGCAAGTAAATAAGCTTTCAATCATATTTTGATCAAACATTCTTGTCCATTTATTTCATAATGGACCCTCAGCATCTAATAATATTAATAGTTTCTTCAGTAGTATCTTCTACTAGATAGTAGTATCTATAGTTTTATATATAAAACATATTGAATGTAGTAGGTATAGTGTTATGAAATAATTACTAGATACCTCATAGCACTACCCTCGTTAAATAGGTATATCATGAGATAATAAATTAAGGTTTGATATTTTCAGTGGTAAACTCTTGTAAAATCTCTAACTAAAAATGAGTAGGTAAAATAATGATGCTATTTTTTGGAAGCACATTTTCATATACCTTATGATAAACATGAAAAAAGTTATCATGGTTAGATCGAAAACCAAAAAATTAACATATTGCTATAATATGTAAAAAATAATAAACAAACTAATATTAATATTAAATTTATATAAAATATGATAAAAAAATTGATATTTAATGTGAACGTTATATTATAATATCAAAACAATAACATAATGAATGTAGTAATTTTATTAACAACTGTGAATATTTAAAATATTATTAAATTCAATAAGTCAATTTTACTTGCAAATTACTTAAGCTAAAAAAAATTACTAAGAATAAGTAGGTAAAATAAATGATCCTTTTTTGTTGGGTGTGTAGACAGATTGCTACCATAGATCAAAAGTCAAAAAATTAACATATTGATATAATAATATGTGAAAAATAATAAACAAATTAATATTATGATTTATATAACATATGATATTTAAGCTTAACTATTAATAGGAATGCTGTATTACAATATAAAAATAATAAACAATGAATAAAAGAATTTTGTTAACAATAGTGAATATTTATATTATTAATTTTAACAAGTCAATTTTAAAATTATAAAATACTATTATGTATGTAAATATAAATTAATCAAATAGCCCAGATTAAAAATTAAATTAAAATTGTACCTTATTATATCCTTAATATAAAATAAATTTTAAATATTATGGAAAAAAATATTGATGGATTATTTATTATATAAAATTGTGAAATAAACTTTAATTATTTTTCTGCTTATAATTCTTAAAGATATGTTAAAATAAATAGTTTGACACAAAGCTATTAAGTAAACCCAACTTAGGTATAAAACAAATATTTGGACTATTAATTTCATTGAAGTATTTTAGTAGAAAAAAAAAAATAATAATAATAATAGGTAGTATGTAATGATAAGTTATTTGTTTAAAGTGTAAAATTGAATAAGGTTCAAATTTAATTTGTTTAATCTTAGCTCATCAAAATGAATCTATAAAGAAGAATCTGAAGATTCATCAGGAAACTCCCCTGTTCCCTAATAATACTTAGTATTTATTATGAAAAAAAAATGTACTGTTTGCATAGGTTATGTATGATAAAATTAGTTTCTGAGAGTTTAAACACATTAAATTTAATTAACTGGTTTTTTTTTGGTTACATAGTGATTAATAAATAAATACATATTGATACAATTCAGCTCTGTCCAGTATATATTTATCTATATGGATTATCTTTATTATTTATGTTTACAAATTTGGATTGGTTATTTTTTGATTAGATAAGTAACTTATTATTATTATACCTGAGAAATGTAGGGTTATGATCACTAGTAACATACAAAATCTTATTATATACATGTAATATATCTATAAAATATATAATAAACTCAAAGTTTTGTGGATTTAAAGTTTAATGCATATAATATAATAATAATTTGTAAATTAATATCTGGGGAGATAGTGTTACCTAATTATATATTTTTTTAAATAAAATGTGTTATTTAATTATTGCATTCTAACACTGCAACAATAACTAACGATTGTAATTTCTAAAATTTAATTCCTAATAAATTTACTTAACATCAAAATATTTGAACCCCAAAAAACTTTAAAAAAAACTTAAACATACCTTTTCCCATTTTAATTTTTGTTTTCTGTTGGTTTATTTATTTCTCTGTAATCATAAAATAAAAAAAAAATATTATTAATAATATGAGAATACATTAAACATAGGCACCAAATTACAAAATGTATACTTACTCATTTCTTTCCTCTCTTCCATATCTTTGACACAATGTATCAGTATCAATGAAGTTCAATGGTCCCTGTAAGATATTGCTAAAGAAGGTTGCTACTCCATTATTATCCTCAATTTGTTTTGTAACATTGTTTACTGAAGTATCTGTGACATGGCTAACTGATGTTTCTGCAACATGTTTCATCACTGGATTTTCTGTGATATTTTGACTTGTTTTTTTCATGGGTTCTGCGTATTGTGTACCATACTTGTATGATAAGTACCTGTATTTATTGTTGTAATATCTCCGAAGTGCACTTGCAGCTTTATCTTCTACATACTTAGTGTTACAGTTATTGTAGTGTGGTAGTTTTGGTTTTAGTAATGCATCACTGTTCTCAACTTGTTTTGCTATTTGGTTTACAGGAGTTTCTGTGATATTTTGAATTATTTTTTTCTTAGATTCTACATTTTGTATACCATACTTGTATGATAAGTACCTGTATTTATTGTTGTAATATCTCCGAAGTGCACTTGCAGCCTTATCTTCTACATACTTAGTGTTATAGTTTTGGAAGTTTGGCAGTTTTGGTTTTAGTACCGTTTCACAGTCCTCAATTTGTTTTTCTGCGAGGTTCACGACTGGAGTTTCTGTAACATGTTCCACGACTGGAGTTTCTGTAACATGTTCCACGACTGGAGTTTCTATAACATGTTCCAAGACTGGAGTTTCTGTAACATGTTTCACGACTGGAGTTTCTGTAACATGTTTCACGACTGGAGTTTCTGTAACATGTTTCACGACTGGAGTTTCTATAACATGTTTTACCACTGGAGTTTCTGTAACAGATTTCACCACTGGAGTTTCTGTGATATTATGACTTGTTTTTTTCATGGGTTCTGCGTATTGTGTACCATCTGTGATATTTTGAATTATTTTTTTCTTAGATTCTACATTTTGGGTATCATTCTTGTATGTTAAGTACCTGTATTTATTATTGTAATGTCTTCGAAGTGCACTTGCAGCCTTATCTTCTACATACTTAGTGTTATAGTTTTGGTTGTTTGGCAGTTTTGGTTTTATAAGCACACCTGTGTTTTTATCTTCTACATACTTAGTGTTACAGTTTAGGTTGTTTGGCAGTTTTGGTTTTAAAAGCACACTTGCAGCTTTATCTTTTCTAACATTTGTGTTATATTTTTTTGTTAAAAATGGGGTCCTTGGTACATCTATTTTTACCTTTACCTTTTTAGTCACTTTTTTAGTCACTTTTTTAGTCACTTTTTTAGTTACTTTTTTGGTTACATTTATTGAAATGTTAGATGTATCATCCTGTGAAGATGTTGAAGGAATATTTATCCAACTTAGTGAACCAGACCCTTGTCCATTTTGTGTAACTTTGTCCATACTGACGACTAGATCCACTAATATTGATAAAGAGGATTTACCAAATATTTTTCTAAATTTAATCCAAGAAATCGCAATTCGAAATCTCTAACAGTTTTTGCATGCACAAAAAACTATAACCACATTTTATTATTTCTGTCAGGTATTTTGTTTTTAAATTTGTAATACCCTGAAAATAAAAATCAAAAAAAACAATTTAAGATTAAAGTACAAATTCTTTAATGTCATACAGCCTATAGTGAAATGAGAACATCAGCTATTACATCAGTGTTCAAATTCCTACATTATTTTATTATTATTGTTATTTTATGGGTGTTTGTATACAACTAGAAAGAAAAGTATTCTGAATAATTGAACATAAATTGAACATAAAATATATACAAATATATTTCATTTTCAGAATAATTAATATCCAATTAGTGCCAGTAATTCACATCATTTATTTTATAATTGAATTCTTGATGCATATTAATTATTTTTTTGGGTATAGCAAGGTATAGCTAGTCTACCTAGGTATTAGCACAATTTTTACGAAACTCCATATTTCTGAATAATAGAAAATATATTCTTCGGTGTACATTAACACTGTGTATTAATAGTTTTACATGGGTATCACTTGTATTTTATTAGTTTAAGGACAAAATTTAGTAAACATTAAAACAAATTAATTTACAACCCTATTATGGCACATAGCAGTTATGATAAAAAATAGAAATATTAATAAAAATATTGGTTTATGAAATATATTTTTTATAAAATGTATCTATGTAATAGTAAATCTACCAACTTGTTCCATATTATATAATAGTACTATAGTAGGTATCTACCTGATAAACCAGTGTAATATCGGATTTATACACACATATATTATTATATAAGTAGGTAGTACATCCCAATAATATAGTTTTTGATAAGATACAAAATGTAATATAATGAATCTATATGTTGTTATCTAGGTTGTTAGGTACTTGATGAAGATTAACAATAGGTCAATCATATTTTAAAAATCACCTGCTCAGTTTTACAATGAAATGTAAACCTAGGGAATTAGAAATTTGGCTTTAATAATGATTATTGTATAAATGTGAAAATAAAAAAAAATTTGAAATTTTATCTATATAAATGTGAAAATGGAAATTTTTGTCACGCATGTTTTCTTAAACTACTAGATCAATTTTATTTACTATTGAAATCCTTGATCTGACCAGTAGATGCAGTAGACCTAATTGATTAGACCACCACTGCATCAGTATTCTGTAACTCGATAAGATGTCAAAAAATGTCATTAATAAGCACTTATCAAATTTTATCTTATGTACCAAACTTTTTTAACAAATTTGCGATTCTGTAATATCAGTTCACTATTTTTTCATTACAAAACTGAATTTTGTGTTATAATTTCGTTAATTCTGTCGAATAATCCAAAGAGTTTCAATAAATTGACCAATCAAACAACACTATCTAGGTGAAGAGCTTTTTTTTAAAACAATTTTCTCTCCTATAAAAGCACTAGACATTTGTTTCAAAAATTGTCATGTATATTTATTAATTTAATTAGAAAACAGGTTGGGTTGCCCAAACATAGAAAAACAAGTAATATGAAAATAATATCTAAGTTACAGGTGCAAATTATGAATATTATTTAAAAAAGAGCTCAGTGGTCAAAGTTAGGGTTTTCATTGGCCAAAGGCATTAGATGATTAAGAAGATAATTTGATAAATAGTGGTAGAGAGAGGTAAGTGGAAGGGAGTAGAATTTCTTAATTCACAGGAAGGCACTCTAAATTTGATACCTGCTAATACCGTTTAATATCAAATATCTAATTCAATTTATAAATATCTGGTTATTTGTTCAAAATATTTACTATAATATTGTAAATAAATATGATAAACCTTGTCCATCGGTCAATCAAATAATTAATGAAATTAAGAGCATAATAAAATGAAAAATTGTTAAATTTATTGAATAAAGTTATTTTTATTTTTAGAAATCTTATATTTTTATTTTTAAAATAATATATAATAACTTATGGTTTACCTAAATTATCTATATGAATATAATTATGATTTTAAAATTAACAAAAGTCAATTTTAAAATTAATAACCAAATATTTATAAATTTAATTAAACCTACTTTGTTAGTTTAAGAGAACTATAATAGGTATGTTATTACAAAATATTTGATTAAATTAACAAATTAATTTATTAAAATAAAAAAGTGTGCTAACCTTATTATTTTTCAAAACAACAAAATATTTTTTGATTCAAGAATTAAATTAACATGGCAAAATGTTGTCATTTCTACAAAATATTAATTTTCATAAAACAAACTCCCTGTTGGCCTTATGTTAATCATTATTTTTTAATTAATCTTATAATTGAACTCTCTGTTCCAACTGAAAAAGTTTCCATATTAGAAATTCTAGAACCATGTAAAATATGTGGCTAATAAGTACGACTGTATTCGATAAAAGTTACTTAAAAAGAATCATAAAGAATATAAGAATTACAATTGTAAGAATAAAAAACTAAGATTATTATTTTTATTACTATTATTACCAAAATTTTAAATAGGTAGGTATTATAAATGATGATATAAAACATATTTTTCCTCTTATCCATTGTAGGTAAGTGTTATCCAGGGGTCTAGATAGTAGATGGGTGTATGAAATTATCAATATTTTATTATTGCTAGTGAAAGTTTAAAGGAAAATATTTGTTAGGCTAATGAATATCTATGATATAAAATCACTTTTATGGATAATATTCAATAATAACATTTTCGATAACTTAACAAACCGAAATTTGTTGTTAAACTACCTTATTGAGTTACAGAATACCGCTGCTGGGCAGCTAAATAAAAGGCTAACAAGTTTTTTAACCTGAAGCACTTACTGTGAGCTCTAGGTTAAATTGAGAAGAAAAGTCAGCTGAAAGTCAGTATTTCATATGGAATATGCAAATATGAATCGGAAAACTAAAACACAAGGGATCAAGAATTTATAATATCAATGAAAATTTAACAGCATATAACAGAAAAATATTTTGGGAAACCAGAACAAAGGCAAAGGAACTAGATTACAGATACATTTAGACAAGTAATGGTAGAATTTATTGCAAAAAAGACGAAATGTCCAAAAAACCCAAGTAAGAACTAATGAAGAACTTAGTTTTCATAATATTTACATATAACACTATAATAATTCAAATTCTTACAACAGAATTATATTTTAATCTTTACTTTGTAATAGGAAAAACAAACTTTATTAATTTTAGTATTGGGCAGACATATTATATTGTAACACTTTTATTCATAACTTATTTACAAACAATTTTCACTTTATGTAGCATTAGATTTTTAATTAGGTATTATATATTTCACACATAAACAACTTAAAATAATAAATAAACAAGTTTCAAATAATACTAAATTACAACACAAACAAAAACCTAATGTTAACTTTTCGAAAATATTTTCAAATTCATCAAAAATAAATGTTTTGATACAATATTTAATATTATATAACATCAATATAACCTTGTAAAAAACAATAATGACTAATTCACAAATATCATATCTAGAAATCGAAAATGGCTGATAATAATATAAATTTTTTGATAATTTTGTGAATGACTATAATCTAATTAAGACTTATTAAATATAATTATGAATATAATGATAAATGTAATATGTGCTAATAAAAACTTCGAAGAGTTCTGTATTATATTATAATAGATAGAGTCTAACTATCTACTTTGATTTTATTATACTAACAGAAGCATGGCCTACCTAACTAATTACTCCCAATTTGAAATTCTAAAATGTTAAACACTATAAATCATGTAAACCAAAATGACAGAATAATAATTGTTTTCATAGAAGACACTATAGTTGACACTTAAGTATCTGAAATAAACACAACAAATTATATGTCTAGTATAGAAATTAATTTTGAAAAAAGGAATTCAAATTGTATAGTATATGGACTTTACAGGCCACCCGACACAGATTCTTTTTTATATGAGTTTGAACATAATATATTACAAATATCCATGTCAAAAAATTACAATTACACAATAATTGTATATCTTAAGATGATATGAACATTGACATATTAAATAACAACCTAGACAGTAACAATTATCTTGAATATGGATTTATAAGTCTTATCAAATATATAACTAGACCTAACAAAACAGGTGGATCTTGTCTTGATCATATTTTTATGAAATCTAAATCATTATCTAGTGTAAAAATGTTGCACACACATCATTAAATGACCATTTTTCAATAGCAACCAACATTAGCAATTTTGTCTTCAATAGAAATAATCCACCTAATCCTAAAACAATTAGACTACTTTAAGTTTTCACTAGCATTAAGTAATTATAACTGGTTGTCAATAAACAATAACTCTGCTACAAACAATCTTATTGATATTTTACAGATCAAAGCAAACAAATGTACAACTGAAAAAAATATTTCTTCAAAACTAAGAAAATAAAACCATGGACAACCACTGTCATTATTCTATCAATTCGTCATAAAGATATTACTTTTCTACAAAGAAAACTCATTGAACTAAAAAAAATACTACCTAAAATACAAAAATCTTTTATCTAATACTATAGAAATATCAAAACAAAATTATTATTAATCAGAATTAGAAAAGCCTGCAATGATTCCAAACTAACTGGAAAATATTACTAACTGCTTAAAAATGAATTACCTATCCAATTCATACATTCCTACTAGTGAAAAATTTCACATCTCTAACCAATCAAAAGAAATATCAGATTATTTCTCTAGCGCTGTACAAAACATGTAGAATAAAATTTAACATAAAAAACAATTATTACACAATAATAACATAGAATTTAATCAAACTAAAATGAATAAATTAACATTCATAAAATTAATAATGTCACTTAAACAAAATTCTTCACCTGGACTAGACAGAATTACTGTTAAAATGCTTAAATCAAATATAAATTCATTAATAATATCACTCTCTATGGAAACATGATGAAAAAAAGGTCAGGACTGTCATTACAGTAAAATTACCAGCAATAATAGTATAGATAGGACTGCAAATGATTGAGAGCAACACCCATCATTTTCTTCAATAATTTAATTTTCACATTCAACCATAACCTCCCAATGTTTTGAGCGTAGGCTCCTGTATTTTCATCAACATATGAAATTTGGTGATTTACATTTGAGTACAAAACCTCAACTTGTGAGACACCAGTATGCGGCTCATTTATGAGAATAAATTTATGATCTGCCTCGCATTCACTTTCTATTATCAGTATAAGTTTCTTGTTGATGAACATAAAAATAAAAATTGTTTCCATTTTTTTAAACCAAATACCTAAAGGCCATCTACCCGTGCACCATGATTTCGGTTTTTAATTACCTTAGCGCTTATATCTTTCAAAGAGGGAGGAGTGTCTCCAGCTAATAATCTACCCCTATTGAACTTCCTTCAACCAGCAAAACAAGCTTCGTCAAACTGAATTGGATTTTATGCATTACCAACCATTTTTCTTTCAGTCTTCAAAACAGCTGAGCATACTTCTCGGCACATGTTAAACCAGTTGATGACACACTCATTACTTCTTCCTGTTCGATCTATTACCGTTTGTATGGACAATTCCAATACAAACATAAATACAAATTCAACAATTTCACAAAGTTTTAACCCACTGTTGCAACATTGATTCAAGTAAAATGAAAAAAAGGTGCAACCAGCTTGTGTTAATCTTGCTGTATGACAGCCTGTTTTTAAACACCAAAACGAAGTCAACCACTTATCATTGCGACATTTTCTTTGTTTTATCTGAATTTCTGTGCTCTATATATGACAAGGGGCGTTATCTTTAACATTTCTTAATAATCCTTTTTCTACTAAAACTCGATGACACACAATTTCATTTGGCACTATTGTAAAATACAACTCATGAAACGTCATCACAGCCATCACAATTAATAAATAATACAGAAAAAAATAAAATACTCCTAATGAATAACCTCCAAGAGCAAGGTTACTGAAAACTGAAAACACTACTATTACAAAACCTACACTAATAAAATTAGTAATAATCAAAGATAAGATAATAAAGAAATACCCAACATATCATAATATACGAAAAGAAGGCAGATAACATAACCAGATATATCAGTCGTTGTCCAATATCCCTTATATGTTCCTAATATAGAATGGCAAAACCTGTAGAGCCCATACCGAATTAGAACCGAAAAATCAATAATTGGTTATGAGCAAATACCTACTCTTAAATTTAGATAAAAATTATTTATTACCACACTATATAACTAATTCAAACCAACCAGACATATCGAGCCTGTGTATTCACAAACAAATCCAAAAACTTGTACATGTCAAACTTCATTAAAATTAGTAAAATGTTGTAAATTGAAATGACCACATTAAACAGACAATGATATAACTAAGAAAAATAATCTATGCTTTCAAAAATTTAGCTAATTTACTTGAAATTAAGAATTTTACTAAGCTCCAGTAGAATCTATAGTTAACTATGGTATTACTATTTGGGGAGATGCCTATGATACAACACTAAATCCATATTAAAAATACAGGCTTACAGGTGCAACTACCACTGTTGTAGGTGGGAATTTAGGAAGGTAGGCTACAGACGGGAATTTAATGTATATCTGTAAACAATGATAAACCATTGCTAAAGAAAAAACGATTCTAAGTGGATTTCAGTTGATAATGTTACTTTGTCAACAATACAATATATGAGGTATTATTTCAGATTATGGTAAATAGATTAAAACAATGTGTATTTCCACAACAACAATAATTGTTTAAAAAATATTAAAATGATAAAAATTTAATAACAAAAAATAAATAAAAACGGTTACCAATGACAACTTTATTTTTAATCTTATAATCATTTTTAGACTAAAACAAAGGTTTTTCTCATTATCTCGAATATAATGAGAATTTCAAAAAATGACCTTTCTAGAGTACTACTCAGAGAAAATTTCCTTTCAGAAAAGGTGCTTTACTTGATAACTGGTGGAATATGCTTTCTGGTAGAAAATTGTTCACATAAAAAAAAAAGTTAACATCATTGTAAAACCAACACATTCATCATTCCATTCAGAATCTAATAATACAAAATAGAATAATAAAAATTATTTTAAAAAAGAATCATTTGTATCACAAAGACTATATATCTGTACTAAGATTTAAATGTTCTACCATTAAAAAAATTATTCTATAAGGCATTAGTAATCTATATAATTAAAACTCTATTGTTTAATAATTAAAAGAAAAAAATATCTAACTGACTGCAGAATAAACCAAATTTAAAACTTTAAATATTTTTATATCTCTAATCTAATTGAATGCATTTGTATTTTATCAAACTTTATTATACATTATGTATCCATGTATTAATTATTGTTAACTACATTAAATATGTTTAAATTAGTTTCATCTAATAAGTCTAAAGTTATAAAAATAAAGTTAAATGTAAATTATTATTTAAATGTATTATTTTCCTTAGAATAAATTGTGAACTCATGGGTTCCCACACTAACCTGTTCAATGGAACCCATTATCTTTTCAAAGAAAAAAACAATAATAATAATAAGTGCCTATTGATAGTTTGTAGTTAAAACAGTTTCAAATCTGGTTCCAAATAATTTTGAAATTACTAGAAAAATAAAACAATTTGGTAAGTGGTTTAAGTGTTTAAATACACACATATAATCAATTCTAAATTCTTTGTAAACATTTTCGCTGCTCCATATAAACGTAGAAATATTATTTACGATTGTTTTATTAATCCTCCACTCCTTTTGGAAAATTCAGAGTACAACATTGCTAATTGCTATAAAATATAGTATTGCTAAATGAAATAATTTAATTTCAATGTTGTTTTAAATAAAAAGTGGAATTTTCAACATTTTTTTGCAAAATACGTTATCAAGAAAGTTAAAGAAAAAATAAAAAACAACTATTAAACTGTTCAAACCTAAAAGATAGTTTTCAATGTTGAAGGTGATGGTGCATTCAGAATTTTTAGGAAATTATTATTTTATAAGTTATTTGAATAATGTATATAACTGTACTGCCCTGAAAATTCCAAAAGTCCCAAAAGTCGCGTAAATCAAAAAAAAAAATGAGTTAGCTAATAAATTTGATAGGTAAACCATATTATTAAAAGATTTGTTTGTAAAATTTATTTTAAAGAAAAATATTTAAAACATTTTTAACACATTGGTTAATATAGGTTGAATTGGGTGACCCCCTCACCGTGCAGAACTTTTATTACCTTTATTATAAGAATCATTATCAATAATTATAAAAATAGGTGGAATATCATACAATGAATGTAAGAAGTACCTATGCAGGAGCGCAAGGACAAATGACTTGTTATAACCTGATATTATTGGGAAAGCTAAGAAAATAATAACAAGTTGTTGCTGAAGGTGTTAAAGAAAAATATTATTTAAAATATCCAGAATGGTTGAACTTCAACCATTAAACAGACCTTGTGGCATTTCTGTAGAAAAACGAAAGGCACTCTCACCAAATGAAAACAAGTCTTATCACAAAGTAGAAGACAGTTTTGTGAAAATATATCTATTTTTCACAATAATTTAAACTAATTAACTTTAATTTTGTCAATTTTATTTGTAAAAAGCTGTTTTATATTATAAGATTTGCATAGTTTTATTAATACAAATTTATTTTCTATTTTACTCTTAAATAAATTGATTTATTTACGGCATGTCTCCCTAGTAAATAAATGTATAAATGATTTATATTAAGCAATACCTAATGGCGTAAAAATTACTAACGACATTTTCCATTAGTAAATAATAATTTATAGTTATATAGTTGCTAACAACATACAAATAACTTTAATTCATACAATAAATCAATAATCAGATTAATAATACTATTTTATTATATGTTTGAAATCTATTAAACACGAAAACAAATAGAATAGAAAATATTAAAGGTTAAGAAATGAAAATACAAAAATTAATTTTTCACAAAACTAACATTAGGCCGGGCGCACATTGGATGCGTTTTCGTACGAATTTGATTCGTGCGAACTTGTACGTACACGCACGAACGATCCCGGCCTACCAAATACTATGTGAGCGCGCAGACTGGGTGCGATTTGTTCGTACGTGTAACTTTTACATACGAAAACAATCCGAACTTGTCCGGATTTCATTAACGTTCGTACGATAATGACGAAGACGCAGCCGTCTCCGGAATAGAAGAGAATTATCTTGAAGGTACAGATCATTGCGTTCTAATAATAAGGTTATAACAATAAGGTTCTAATAAAAAGGACGACACGATTGCGATATCACCGGAACACTGACTATTTTACGGAAAAAAACGTATTCAGTGTGCGCAATCAATTCGTACGACCAGTATTCGTACGTTTTCGTACGAAACAAATTCATATACAATGTGTGCACGACCTTATACATATTTGTTTGTACGGCACTTTTCCTTAGAAAGACAGTATACTGTCTTGATAAGAAAGAATACGGCAATTCGAAAAAATAAATAAAATGAAATACTCTTACCTGTAATATACTAGTTTTATATGTTAGGTTTGGGTAAGACTACTGCAGCGGTCGAACTAATCTTAACATCCAGCTCCAGACATGGACTCCCACGGCAAAACACCTCTGTTCACTTTTTTTTTAAACACCTAGACTTAAATATTCTGATAATCTGGAGGTATAAGTATTAAAACATTCTCGAAATGGTCAAACAAAATCTCATAATGATTGTTGTGGCAAGAAACAGACTAAAAATAAAACCATATGACACATGAAATTAACGTAGCAAATACACAAATACACAATGGTCGTCCGTTAATCGTTTTAACCTAACTTTGGGTTCTTGAACAAAAATCGATTTAATAATTGTTATTAGGGTACTCCCAAAGTGGTGCTACCACATGTTAAAATCTAAAATTTTTTTTTTTAATATGATATAAATTTAAATCATTATGAATAAGCAAAATGTATGTGTATCCAAGGTAAATTAATTCACTTTGTTTTTATCTTATCATATTTATTGAAAAGTAATTTTCAAAAAAAAATTGTTACTTCACCTTTTATAAATAAAGGATTCAACTACAATATTTAAATAACAAAGGTTTTTTTAATTATATCTAAATCATTATACAGACATGTTCATAAAAAAAACGTTAAAATGAATAAACGATTATCAATAAAAGGAAGTCCTCAACTCACCGTGTAGTTTCATGTGTTTTTAACACGACACGCTCCTTTTTCATTGCACGAAATAATTTGTACCTGTCGTTCTACCAACAACCAACATTATCACTCACTATTACTATTAATTTACCATTCGCCAAAAATGAGCAGTAATTATTACAGTACATTTTTCTTAAAATATAATATTATTATTATATTATATTAATTATGAATATTTATTATTATTATGCCATCGATATTTCACCGTTTCTACTCTTTCTTTAGGTTTTTTATTATTTATTCTATTTTCTATCAAAAAGGCGATATCATTGAATTATTATTATAAACAGTATACACTTTATTAATATAGTTTACTTGTATTATACGATTAACCAATAATAATAATAAAAACACCAAAGTTATTTTACTTAATTTTAATTAATTACCCAATATTGCTATTTTTAATAGTTATGTTCTACTGACTACTAGTAGGTATTGATTTTAAAATCAATGGTACAACTTATATTAAAATTACTTACTTGGTATTGTACTTGCAAGTACTAGTTTGTGATTTTATATCATAAGTACAGTTGTGTGGAGTGTTTAATACAACAAACTATTTGCAAAAAGTGCATATCTATCCCAAAAAAATTTACATTTTACATAACATTAGATATTATTTATCTTCACAAAGTTTATAATAAATTTAAACTAGTATACAAATTTAATATTAAATCATATTTAGTTTTAAATTAAATTATTAAAAAATGACAATTTTTATACTAATTAAATTTATTATTAAAATGAAAATACGAAAATGGCGTTACCAGCTTTAACCAGCACATCGAAAAGTCGAATTTATAAATTACTCCTATTCAACTTTGTGGTATCCGCGGTAACGTCTTGGTAAACACATTTTAATCGTGTCTACTTAATTACTGCCTATATAATAAGACTCAATTAGAAAAGAGTATTTCACACCAAACGAAACTACACGGTAAGTTGAGAATTCCCTTTAATACCTACATTATCAATATTATTACAATTGATACGCTGACGCGCCTTCAAGATTTCAAACTAACTAGATAGATTTTAGAACATTTCGTAAACAGTTCTGAAAATTATTGTTGATTTTTTGCCTTATATTAAAAACGTAGTCAATTTTTTTATGTATTATGCCTTCTATTCTAATACTTGTGCCGTTGTTGGTTGAGACACTAACTTAAGCGATAAAGTGACAAAACGACATCGTTAACTTGAAATTTAAATAACCTGATGAGCTAGGATTTAATTTATAATTTTTGTGTGCTAAACATTTCTCTTATTAAAATACTGTAAATTACCGTATTTAAATAATTTGTTTACATTTCGTGATAGCTTCTGTCTTATACATAATTTAGGTTACATAACATGCATTAGTGTATGTCATAATAATAATAAATTATAATGGTATTAGGAAAAAAAGATATGTGATTCATGTTTTGCCCTCTAATGAAGCAAACTATATTGGATCATTGTTATACATTGTTTACCCCTTATCAATTATTGTTAGAATTAATATTGCTCATTTCACGCACATCTCCTCCCTATACAACTATACCATATTCTATGATTGATTGCGATAAGGCAAAGTATGTATTTTTAAACTAGAGTAGATTTAAAAATTGTTTTGACATATTATAGAAAGCGTATAATCTACTAAATTTTAAATTTAATTATGAAATATGATTATTCCAATGTAAATGTTGGTCGAATGTAACGCCCAAGTATTTCGTGTTGTTAACTCTTTTTATAACTAAAAATTTGCATTGTATAATGGATTTACATAATAGGTCGAGAAAATTTAAGTTAGAGATATTCGTAGTTGTTTTTATTGAATTAGAAAAGGTTAAAAAATTGTTTTATTATTGTTTAATGTTAAATTATTGAAAACCAATTAATTATTTTATTTGTTAAAGCGTTTTTTGCTATTTTTACAACTAATTATCATATTTCACCTGTCACAATCAACGCTGTATCTCCACAGGAATATAAACTACACTCAATTTATAGATTAGAAAGTCCCATGACATATATAATATATAACAACGAAGACAGTTCTGTACCCTGGGGTACTACTAGGGACATATATACTTTAGCTTTTTATACTGCTTATTTGAACTTTATGTCTTCGGTTTTCTACATATGACATGAATAATGCTAACGTTTTGTATTTAATACCAATTTTGTTTAGATAATTTATTTATTATCACATATTGAGTTGAAAGCTTTACTTAGATCCATAAATACACCTATCGATTTTCTTTTAGAATCCATTGCATGAAGAATTGTATGTGTTAAACTAGTAATAGTACCTTCAGTAATATACACTTTTCTAAAGCTAAAATGGGTTATGAGAAGGATTTGGTTTTCTTCTAGATAATTAGCTAATATTAAATGAATAACTCTTTTAAATATTTTGGAGAAGGTTGTCAAGAAACTTATTGGTCTATAATTTTCTACCTTGGTTGAATTACCTTTCTTGTGAATTGGGGTAATTATTTCTATTTTGAAGCTGATAAATGTGAGAATATTAATTATGATTATTATTATTAATTGGCGTTTAAATGATAACTGATCGATTTTATAGAAACATATTAATAGTTTTTGAGTCACACGATAAAGAAGAAGTTAGTGTTATGAATTTAAGTATAACTAGAATAATTTAGTAGTATATTTTAAATATTAAAATTAAATTAAATGTATTAAGGTGGACTGTTAATCTATTGATTGTGTAATTAGAGTGAGGAGAGTTTATTGTTAGTAAATTAAAACAGATATGCCGATAAGAGTGCATATTGTTTGTTTTCATTAGGTATTATAATATTTAATAATCAGAAAGTTTTCTATAAATGTATATTATTAAAGTGAAAAAATGTCGAGTTTAGAATGAATTTTGCATACATTTGTTTTCATCTTTTCATTTAAGGAAATTTGCATTCTCATTCATCCATATGTATTTAAAGCTCTTCTTTTGCTGTTGCTCTGGTTTTATCATATAGTTGTCTATTTTGTTTAGTAAGATGATTATTAATATATAGACGTTTATCTTTAGACCACTCCGCATTAATGTTGAAAAGATTTAGTTTTATTACGTTTGCATTTGGCTGTGTAAGTTTCGCTATAATTTTTTTTTTCATTTACTGTAATAGTCACGCGATAAGCTTCTTTAACATTAATGAATGTGTTTAATATTTTTGCTATATTAATTACTGTATCTATATAATTCTCATTAGCCACAGTTGGGATGCCCAATATTTCTATAGTAGATTTATGATTATTTTGTTTCATATCATCTAATCGATATTTGAGATCATATAACTCTTGATTAAGCTTTCTGTAATACATCATTTTATGATATATATTCAAGGTGCAACTAGACCACTAATTTTGTGGATACTAAAATTATAGATATATCACAGACCTGTGTGAGCAATGTCCTCACAATCCCCTTTAGATGACATTTATAATCAACAATTACATGTTTCATTTTAAATTTTTTCCTGTCTGTAGGTAATCTGTATTTGTTCTGCTTATTACTTATAAAATACATTTATAAAATATTAAGTACTATTAAGACATTATAAAAAAATATATATTAGGTAATTTTATGGGTACTAATTTTAAACTAGAGGGTGCTGAAGACCTCCTAGTAGTGCCTATGTTTATATTATAATAATGAATCAATAGATCAATAAATTTTCCATTTAGAAGTGTTTACTGAAATTCTTTTAACATCTAAAACTTTGTATACTTTACCATTCTATCCATATTTATTCTAAAGCAATATCAACTGCCTAATATATAAATTACAATTTCGAAATTAGAGTTAGTAAATATACTAAAAACATAAATATCAATAAATATTAAGGAAATAATCAAAGAATACATCCTTAAGGTGCGATACTCCCACGTGTTGTCTTCATCTTACAAATGTATAAATTAGCAAACTGTGTTTAACAACAATAGTAGTAGAGATAAAATTTTATTGTTGCTTTCAATACAAGGTAATCTATTTAAGTAGGTGCACTTATTATCTCACTAAAGTGTTTAAAACTAATACTCCATCCATTTATGGAATTTGAAATATAGGTTGCCATTTGAAAATCAAGTAGAGTTGCTTGTTTTTTAAATGTTGTAAAAAAAAAATTTTGAAAAAGTTAACTTTCCGAGATAATAAGTGTACTCACTTAAATGGATCACCTGGTATTATATATATATAATAAACACTAGTATAATAACACCATTTTTTTTCTTCTTTTATCAGACATTTATGAACTATAAAGATATTAAGATATTTAACAAGTTAATTAAAATTTAAAAAATAATAATAATAATAACCATTCAAATAAAGCAATATGTTCAATTGAATTTACAGAGTAAAGTAATCTAATTTTTAAAATGACTGGAGGAAACGCAATCATTTATGAAAATAATGCCCAAATTCTATTCACATGGATGGTTTTTTCTTCTCATATTACAATTACTCATTCCATCGATAGTGATATCATTTGTTAATTAAAATTAGTTAATGATTGGCATGTACCAAAACTGCTAAATCTATGTAAACACAGCTAATGACTGTTCAAACACAATAATA